GCCTCAGGAGAAGGCTGCAGTGTGGGCGAGCGTGCCATCTGAGGAGTCATCTGTGGAGAGTCCCAGATCTCTCCATCGGAAATTGATCCCAGCATGGCTACCTCCTGATGTTCTGGCAAGGACAAGATGGAAGGAGCAACCTGTCAAGGAGACCCTGGCGGGGTCACTTGCATCACCAGTTGGAGAGCCAGTCCGGTTGGTGTCGGTATCGAAGCGGCTGTTGGGACTGACTGGGCAGATGATCCCGAATCACGGTGCCAGGGCTGATTGACCTTCTTGGCTTTGTGAGCCATCTTGTCTGCCTTGTCCTTCTTAGGCTTCTCATGGCCTGAGGACTTGTCAGATCCACTGTGCTTCTCCTTTTGTTTATGAGGAGATTTAGGGGAGTGGTTGCCCTTCGGCAGCGTAGCACCATCAGCCGATGGGCAGGGAGGAGGGACAGCCGAAGAGGAGGGCTGCGCAGTGGATTGGGCCGCCAGTTGATCAGATTGAACCAAGGCCTGGTCCCAGAGAAGCTTGCGCAGTCGGTTTTCCCAGTTTTTTCGCACCTGCTTGGTGAAGGCCTGGCAATGGCCGCATTAATCGATCCTATGACCTTCTCCGAGGCAAAGAAAGCACAGGTTGTGTGGATCAGTGGGGGACATCTTGGACCGGTACTGAGAACACTTGTGGAAAGCCGCACGTTGAGCCATCAAGATTGAAAAAGAGAAGATAGTGAAGCCGAGAAATGTAAAAGAGAATAAACCATTTTTTTTTTCGGCGGGGAGGAGGAAAAGAGAGAAAAGGGGGAATGTGAAGAAAAACTTCTAACGGGGAGGGATGAATAACTTGAAAATCTTAACAAGAAAGCTAAGAGAACAGAGAACGATGGTTTTAAAGGGGATCAAGATGCACAATATAGCTACAAACTGAGAGATGAAAGGCTCAAACTGAGAGATGAAAGGCGACTGCACAGCGAATGGCAGTCGCAAGAAGACTGAGGAAATGGTGGGCATTCTGCCTTCTTATACTATGGGGAGGAGGGGTGAGGAGTTCCCGCCAAAACCGTTAAGCTTTTAAATCTTCCCAGCTACAGGCACTGCGCAGGCACAGCACCCATATGTGTGATGCACAGAGGCCATGACCAAGAACCCCATTCTATAGTATAAAAAGCACCTACATTGTATGAATCTCCATCATAGGTAGAGTGGTAAATACATCCAGAACAATTAGTATAAACATTGGTATTGGATGGCTTTGTTCATTCCTTCTTCAACTACTTTCCTAGATGCTGTAGCTTATTTCTATAACTTGGATAGCAACCTAACATACAGATCACTAACAAGTGAAAATGTTCTTGCTACATATTTCTGGGCCAGAAAAACTTTCACTTGTTAAATTTCTGCATATGGTTGAGATGGAAAATACCCCTCCCCACATTTACTCTTGCCCCCTTCCCTTCCCTTCCCCTCCCCATGACAATGGTAAGATAGCAATGCTCCTCAGAGTAGCCACCATTGCTTTGTAAACCACCATCTATAATAAACAATAGGGTCAGGTTGCCGTTCTAAGTGTAAGGGCAGAAGTGTCAATTGCATTTGTCATCCCTTGCTAAAATTAATATCCCAAAAATACCATCAACTGAGACTGAGCTGATACTGTATTTAGTCTGTTGCTGAGAATAGTTTTAAAGTTGCATGGTGTTCATTTTATTTAGTGTTATCATTTGTATGCTATTCATAAATGTATTTATTACATTTTATACTACTCAATAGCCAAAGGCTGTCAGGGCAGTTTGTAACAATTTAAAACATAGAATACAGTATAAACAATTAAATAGTTAAGACTACAATATAAAATAAACGTGAGAAGTAGAGTAAAACCTAGCAATAGTACAAAGATTTAAAACATTGCAACTAAAATTCCTGGGAGAATAAGGTCTTCACCTGGTGCCAAAAAGAGTACAAGTGGGTACCAGGAGAGCCTCCCAAGGAAGTTCAATTCATAGATGGGGTGCCAAAACAGAAAAGGCCCTCTTTCTAGTAGTCATCCACCTGATTTGCCTTGCCAGAAGCTCCCTCAGAAGGTCTCTTGAGGATGATCTTAGGATCCAGGTAGGTATATATTATTTTTAAATGTAAACTACCCCCACGTTTTGATTATCACAGAAAAGCAAGATATTAAATGTTAAATAAAGGTATGTTAGAACACAGGGAACTTCAAACTGAAAGCCAGTGAACAGATTCTTCAGCTATAATATATTTTATTCGTTTCCACTTTTTATCCCACTTTTCTTAGCAAAAGAAAATTTACACTGATCAACAACTTTTTAAATACTATTTTGGCTAACATAGAATGTTTTATTATGCATACAGTTATTATTCTATTATTATATTTAGCAACCTGCCCAGAGTTCCATTCTGGCTAAGAGGTGGCATAGAAATCTAATAATAAATAAAACATATTAAACAATAATCAGAACACCAAAACAATACAATTGGAAAACTCTGAAAGGGAATCCATGCTTTGTGGTTCAGTTATGAACTGTGAATTGTTCATGGTTAACAAATGATGGTCTGTGGGGTCCACACAATTCAACCATGGCTGATTTTACAGAACACTACAACCCATGGTTCAACAATTATCCACACTCAACTTTGAGCATGTTAGGTTGTCATGTTGTATGCACCCAACCAATATTTCAATATTGTGTTACAAGCTAAGGAATAATCTCTTCCTGGCATTACTGGGACATAGCAGAGGTCCACAAAGCTAAGCAAAGAGTGATCAACCCTTGATTTGCAATTGGATGCACTACTTAGCTGTGCTCTAGACAGATTTAACATTGAATCAGGACACTGCAAATGCTATTCAAAACTTAATGAAATTCCAAGCAACTGTTTAAAAGAAGACAGGTTCTAATTATGTTACAAAATTCAGCAGGGGAATACTATTATGACAAAATTTGAGAACATCAGCATCTATACCAGGAGTAGTTTTTTGTTTTTAAACAAGGGCTTTAGCAGTCTGAGTCAATACAATAGCTTAAAATAGTTCCTTATAAGTCTACATGTTTGCACAGTATCAGCTGACTTAAATTTCTCAAGATATGTTAAGTAGGAATAAAAAACAAAGTGGTAACAAAAACAAACCACTGAAACAAGTATTTCTAAAGCATGGTAGGCAACTCTGAGAGGTTGGAGGGCCATTTCACCTCTACTCCAAAGGCCTCACTCCACAGGGTAGCAATGTGATACTGACATCCAAAAACTGATTTGCTGCCAATTTTCAATAGCAAACCATTAGATGGTTTTCTAAGATGTGGTTAGTGGGTGGTTCTCTTGACCAGTACAGAGAGAATTCAAAGTGTTCTAGATTGGGTTGTACTCCCTCTAAAGGGGCAGATTCATAGCTTGGGGGTCCTCCTTGATTCATCTTAGTAACTTGAGGTTCAGGTGGTCTCAGCAGCATGGAGAGCTTACTACCAGCTTCAGTTGAGGGCCTGACTACACTCCTATTTAAACAGGATTAGCCTGATTTCAATTATCTGTGCTCTGGTAATCTCTAAATTGGATAACCGCAATGAAGTCTATATGGGGCTGTTCGGAAGTTGCAGTTTGTGCAAAATGTGACATTCAGATTAATAAGTGGGACCAGAAGGTCCAAACATATAATACCAATTCTGGCCTGCTTGCATTGGCTGCCCATATGCTCTGAGCCCAATTTGAAGTGCTGGATTTTCTTATAAAGACTTGCATGCCTTGGGATCACAGTAGTTGATGCTAACACCTCTTCTAACCTCCTTCTACCCAAACACTATTATCTGTATCTGGGCCCTTCCTCAGGTCTAGTTTTTTATTGAAATTGTTTTAGATGTTTAAACTATTTTAAATTTTGTACCTTGGAATTTTACACTGTGCTTTAGGTGTCTGTATTTTTATTGTATCAGTTTTTATTATTGTACTTTGATAAAATTGTAGCAAACTGCCCAGCAAACTTTGGCCACTATGCACTACAGAAATAAAATCAATGATGATGATGGTGAACACTACAATGCCAAAATTAGCTTGCAGAGAAGCTAACTTCTAGGAACTATAGAATTCCATAGCTTCTTGCCACAGAAGATTGGTAGCAACTTAGCTTTTCTTGCCATTGCAAACTTTGGTGGCACAGGCCAGATGGTGCAGGGGGCTGTATGCAGTCCATAGTTTATATAATACATAACCTTGCTTTAAAGCACTTAATGTGCATTGGGATCTGGGAACATGCACCAGCACCTCTTAAAATGTTTTTCAACTCTAAAAGTTCCTAGTGCTTAAAAAATGACTAAATTCACAATTGTGTGAAGAATATGCCAATCCATTCTATTCAGCCAGGAGATTCTGAACTTTGCCAGCATTTTGTTGTGAACTGTCCCGAGACATCAGTGATGGGATGGTATATAGAAGTTTTAAATAAATAAAATAAATAAAAACTAAATGAAATTTTCTCATGGAAGTGGAGGACAATGAGCAGTAATGTCAAGATATTTTGAAAATAATGTGATTACACATTGGTCTTATCATTTTAAGATAGAGCAGTTAAATATTCCAAACACAAATGACCCAGTTCTTTAAAAATCTCTCCAGGAAAAGAAGCTATCAGCTTGTCAATAGATGTAGTTTAAGTGTCCGGTGCATTATAACCATTATGTATTATGTAGACAAAACCCCTCATCATTGTTTGCAGTTAAACTTAAGTGATCATACAAGAAAGCACCCTGCTTCATTCTTAGAAGGATTCTGATTTGAAGGCCACTACCAGATGCACTGCTTATCTAAAGAGTTACAGAATGATCCTCCTCCTTATGGGCTTTCAGTAAAAGACAACTGACTTAAGATACTTCAGATTCAGGACAGCATGCGCTTAAATAGGATACTGAGAAGACTTCTTCAGGTCATCTAGGTTAAATTCTCCATTTCTAATGAAATGTTACAGAAATGTTACAGAATGAAATATAATTTTCAGATTTAAAATCTTACCAGAATCCATGGATAGTCCAGTACATTACCGGGTCTTTGCATTCATTTTCATTCATCTAGAGAAAACATGCCCATCAATTTATCAGATAAAGCCAGTTTTTATACTAAGCAAAACATATTTTAAGGATTAATAACACAAAAATTTAGCTCATAATTATCTTTGGCTCACACCCCCAAGAAATATCAATATTATTAAATTGCTTTCAATGGGGCAGCAACAAAAGACGTAGGCAGGAGTTGTATTTTCCCCTCTAAACAGAAAATTGGACTTACCATGAAGTGTCCTTCTGGTTGGCAAAGAGTGGACCAGAAAGGAATGGGTTACTCCTCTGAGGAGGTTTGGCCAAAAGAGAATTGGCAAGAGAATTGGCCATGACAGAGGTAAAGAATGCTGACTGCCCAGTCACCTCAAGTTCCTTCCAATGCATTGGGCACTTGGGGATCCTCAAGGGAGTAGCTGCCCTGAAACTCCTCCCCTCTGCCCCATGAAGCCCAGGTGAGCCTTGACAGCAAATTTCAACAACCTAGTTCTGCCCCTCGTTGACTAATCAACTATGGGATAGGGCTAGAGACAGAGGGTTTGTTTGCATTTCATTTTTGTTTGTTTCTGAGGTTCCACAGCAGCAGTTGAGGAGCAAATAAGGCTCCCTGCCATTGGTTAAAAGGCAAAGCAAAAGACTGAGGCAGTTCTCCTGTGGCAATGGAAAATGTATCATTCTTTTAGCTCTGCCTTCTCATGGAGGAGAAAATCAACTCATTCCTGTTGGCTCCACCCTCTGTTGACTGAGAACCTACCATTTTGCTAGGGGAAGAGATCTCTATTATAAAGCCAAGTCATTCAGGAATCCTGATTATGGTTGTCAGAATTGACTAGCCTGATCAAAGACTCCCAAAGAATGGATGTGATCTCAAAAGACTAGCCAAGACAATAATGTTCATCTTCTTAAAGAGGAAGAAAAATGGCTGAAGAGATTGCAGATTTCTGAGCTCTCTATCTGGAAGATGTTGCAAGAAATAAATGAATCACTTTATTAGCTATCAAGAAGAAAATAGTAATGATTTCTGATAATGTGAAAATGCTCCAATGTGGCATTATTAAGAATGCTGTCACCTGGGAGCATTAGCTGCTTCTATTTTGTGTTCCTGACACTATCACCATTGCTCCAAAGTTTTTACTTCTTCTAGAAAACTTGACTGAGATTTAGCAAGCTGGGACAAAACATACTTGAAGCGTCTTCTAAGCTTTGCAATTAAAATAGATAAGGGAAAGCAGGCACACAACAAAGACATACACAAAGGACATATGTGTTAGGGTGGCTTTGCCTGCCCAGCATTTTCTTCTCTGTTCTCTTATTAGTTCAAGGGCAGGAAGCCATGTAAATGTCTGCAGAACTAAAGGAAGCTCAACTGACTGAGCATTACTTCATAATTTTTTTAAAAGACTTGCACACGGGAAATTAGCGTGTCACAGAGGAAGATTCTAGCCTTAGAAGGCTTCTGCTATGCTAGCTGTCTATTGTGCAGGAATTTATATAGGTGTGTGACAATGCGAAAATGACACAGGCTAAACATGGATTTTTAACTTTATCTGCCATTTTTGATGACTAGGCTTTTACAAGTTTGTTACAGGAAAGTATTTGAAACTGCTACAGAAAGCATTAACTGCACAACCAGAATTTGGCCTCTACCAAACAGTTTTTCATATGACCACAGGCAATTTCACATAAAGAAAAATATTGGAGAAGACATGACTAATCATAATAATTGCTTTTTACAGAACATTTTATTAAGGAACTTTAAATATGAATCATACAGTGTTTTATTATTTCTTGTATTCCCATTTTTCATTGAAGCAATTTTACACATTAAAATAAAATATACTTAACAGAATACCATCCATTAAATAACCACAAATCATTTAAGACAGCAGCAAGAGCAACATTTTGACTAGCAAGAGTGACTGGAGCCTTATCTCTAGCCTTGCGCTAAGCTTCAGAAGCAATGAAAAATGAAAAGAGCCGCTTCCAAATGTCTCCAGATCATGGTCCTCTATACCTAGAAGCAACACACACACACTCATGCACACCCACATTGCATGCATCCATTCACACAAGGAAAGTCTCCCCCCCACCCCCCATGCGTCAATTTGGCTTGGAAAAAAGTCTTCCACCAAAGCCTAATCCAGCAATAGGCTGTGGAGAAATGTTGCGGGGGGGGGGGGGGGAAATGGGGGGGGGGGGGGGGGGCAAAGCAGGTGGGGGGGAAGGTTAACTCTTTCCTTGAAGTAAACTTGGAAAAAAGCCTTCTGTTAGTTTCAATGGAAAGCTAATTGCATCACTAGGCGTTTTTGATTTGGGAATTCACACTGCATGGGGGAAGGATTTTTTTCCCTTCAGGTGAGACCCCTTCAAATTACCCTCCCCTTGCGTGCACACACAGGGTGCTGCAAACAGGCTTGGGAAAAGCTCTACACTGCCTTCAGTGGAATGTTTTCAAGAAGGGGTGGGGTGAAGAGGGGAGGGCAGAGCTTCTTCACCCATGTTGTCTTCATCCACAATGGTTAAGCATGAAACATTTGAATGGAAGATTTCTAGAAACATAACTTGATTATTGTATAAGTATTTTGCCTCTGCACATACTCCAAATTACCTTGGCTTTAAAACAGAATTGAAAGTGACCCCTAAGGCATATAAGATTTATTTTGCTCACTTTGAATTGAATTGGAATCCTCCCTATTCTATCGAGAGTCAGTGTGGTGTAGTGGTTAAGAGCATGGGACTGGGACTCAGACGATCTGGGTTCTAGTCCCCACTCAGCCATGGAGCCAACTGGGTGACTTTGGGCCAGTCACAGACTCTCAGCCCAACCTACCTCACAGGGTTGTTGTTGTGGGGATAAGATGGAGGAGGAGAATGATGTAAGCTGCCTTGAGCCCCTTGTAGGAAAAAGGCAGGATATAAACCAATAAATAAATAAATAAACCAATATTGTTAACATTTTGTTTATGAATACTGGAGAAGGAGAAAACTGGAAGCGTACACTATGACCCAATCTGGACAACCATATCTGGACTTAATGAACTAAGGTATGAACAACTTTTCCTTGTTCACACAGTCCCTTGTCTTCTTCATGGTGCAGAGCAGACATGAACTTCTAATGACCACAGCTTCCCATTTTGTCCAAGCCAGGAAGCCATGCCTAAAATCACTGACTCAAGCTAGGATAAGTAAATCAGGTCTAATGGTGGTTCAATATCTGGCCTTATTTTAATCTAGAACATAAGAAGAGCCATTCTGGGTCAGGTTAAAGGCCTATCTGCACCAGCATTTTGCCACCACAGGGGCCAACTAATTGTCCATAGGAAGTCCACAAGTAGGACATGAGTGCAGTAGCCCCTTCCTCTCATGTTAAGCAATAGCTGGCATAATTAGACATATCAATCCAATACTGAAGGTAATATATAGTCATCAGAACAAGTAATCAACTAATACTTGGAAACCATCGTTTTTGGTTGAGACAAAAGAGGAAATTGCTGATTCAAAGAAAGGATGGGATTCTGGACGTGGGCAAAGGGTTCATGCATTGAAATATAGCCATTAAGTTTTATTTTAGCTTCCTTAAGCAAAATTAAAACAAACTGCACACAGTCTGTTTTCACAACCAGCACTAACAGCGCAGTGAGGCTCTGCCATGCCATAAGTGTATGTGACTGTTATTACTGCACGGCAGCAAGCAAAGGACAGTTATTTTAACTCAGAAATAGTCCTCTAGTCTTGCCAGTTTAGGCTTCCTATTTTCATTATTAGAGGCAAGAAACACAAAATGTACTTCTGTGAAAACACCTGAAGTGAATATAGTTCAAGTGTCTTAGAACAGAAACCAATTTAAGTAAAACTCAGCATGTATTTCCATTCAAATAATACATGGTTTTTAATAGATTCCTTGCTTAATTAGCTGACTAAGGTTGTGACAACTCTGCCAGCTTTTTAAAATATAGTACTGGGATGAATAAAGTGATCTTAACCCTCCTAGGCAGCTGTCTGAGTTGGGAGAGATAAGAGTTAACCCTCCACCATCAGAGAAGAATTCTGCTGTGAAATAGACATCTGCACCAGAAGCCCCAGTTAAGCCTTCAGAAAGCTTAGCAGGCACAAATCTAGCAGCAGTCAGCAGTTCTGGTGGCCAGAAGAAGGTGCTGAAACATGGCTTCCCTCCGTGGACTCCTTGCCCATTCTACACTCTGACAAAGTTTTTTCCTTGCCACTGATTTCAAAGCATGAAATTTAAAAGAACTGCAAGGAAAAAACTAACAAGAACCCTTTCCCACCCTGACCACTCATGTGCCAGCAGCACACTGGATGCCAAGATAGTTTTGTAGTAGATCTCCCTTTTTGACCCACTTAGGATTGTTCTATGATAAATGTACAACTTTATGCATAGACGTTAGGGATGAGGTATCATTTTATTTATTTATTTAGAATTTTTGTATGCCATCTCATCGCATAGCCTTGGGACAGCTTACATAAAATAAATAAACACAATATTGGTTGTCCTGTTGGTTGGCGGATCAGGTTTCGGAGAGGGTGAATTGAACTTAGTCCTGAATGGGGTTGCACTCCCTCTTAGGGACAAGGTCCGCAGCTTGGGAGTGCTCCTCGACCCGGAGCTTTCATTGGAAGCTCAGGTGACAGCAGTCGCGAGGAGCGCTTTCCTTCAGCTTCGGCTGATCCATCAGCTGCGCCCCTACCTGGAGTACGACTGCCTGGCAACAGTGACACATGCGCTGGTGACTTCCCGCCTTGACTACTGTAACACGCTCTATGTGGGGCTACCCTTGAAGATGGTCCGGATACTTCAATTGGTTCAAAATAGAGCTGCCAGGCTGCTGACGGGGACTGGGCGTTATGTTCACTTGACTCCAGTCCTCCATCAGCTTCACTGGCTTCCCATTGAAGTCCGGGCCCAATTCAAGGTGTTGGTGATGACCTATAAAGCCCTAAACGGCTTGGGTCCTGGTTACCTGAAGGAGCGCTTACATCCATATACGCCTGCCCACCCCTTGAGATCTGCGGGAGAGGCCCTTCTCTGGAAAACCTCCGTGAAAGAAATTAGGAGGGTAAGTACTCGGAGGAGGGCTTTCTCTGCGGTAGCGCCCAATCTATGGAATGTGCTCCCCAGAGAGGTCCGCCTGGCGCCGTCGTTATTTGTTTTTCGGCGCCAGGCGAAGACCTTTTTATTTAAACGTCATTTTAATTGTTAATATTATTTGCTTATTTTATCTGGCCAGGGTGACTTATTTTATATTGTTAATTGGTTTTATATTTTGAATGTATTATATTTTAATTTTATGTTGTGAGCCGCCCCGAGGCTTCGGCAAATGGGGCGGCATAGAAATGTTTTAAATAAATAAATAAATAAATACAAATCATACAAATAAAATCCAGATTCACCCTGGCTGCAAATTAAAACCTACAGATGATATTAAAAGTTATTAAAATATTGTTTAAATAAAAAGGTCTTAGCCTGGCGCCGAAAAACAAATAACGATGGTGCCAGGCAGACCTCTCTGGGGTGGATTATAAGCTGTTCATACAGATGGGATTGGATACTACTGTGATTTCTTCCTACAGACACAATACTATAAAGTAGTCTTCTGAAGTATTTGCTCTACAGCTACAGGATTTGTGAAGATAGAAGACATACTGATTCTACCCTCAGATGTGGTGCCACCATATTTTGTGAACCTCTTTCTTCCAGGTTTCTTTGCCCATGAAGCAGACTGCTCCCATGCCCAGTTATTTGTGAAGGTAATGCACTAATGTCTAAATTAGTTCTTAAAGCTAGCTACATAACTCAGAAAGGAGAGTCCAATGCTGCAAAGATCTATACTCCATAGGAACCTGGAATGTAAGATCCATGAATCAAGGCAAGCTGGATGTGGTCAAACAAGAGATGACAAGACTGAACATCGACATCTTAGGAATCAGTGAACTAAAATGGACAGGAATGGATGAATTTAATTCAGATAACCATCAGGTATACTACTGCGGTCAAGAATCCCTCAGAAGAAATGGAGTAGCCTTCATAGTGAATAAAAGAGCAGGAAAAGCAATACTGGGATACAATCTCCAAAATGACAGAATGATCTCAGTTCAAATCCAAGGCAAACCATTCAACATCACAGTAGTCCAAGTCTGTGCCCCAACCACTGGTGCAGAAGAGGCTGAAGTTGACCGGTTCTATGAAGGCCTACAACACCTTCCAGAATTAACACCAAAAAATGATGTCCTTATCATCATGGGGGATTGGAATGCTAAAGTAGGAAGCCAAAGGATAACCGGAATAACAGGCAAGTTTGGCCTTGGAGTACAAAATGAAGCAGGGCACAGGCTGGTAGAATTTTGTCAAGAGAATACGATGGTCACAGCACACACTCTTTTCCAACAACCCAAGAGACAACTCTACACATGGACATCACCAGACAGTCAACACAGAAATCAGATTGACTATGTGCTCTGCAGCCAAAGATGGAAAACCTCTATACAGTCAGTAAAAACTAGACCAGGAGCTGACTGTGGCTCAGATCATGAGCTTCTTGTTGCAAAATTTAGGCTTAAATTGAAGAAAGTAGGGAAAAGCACTAGGCCACTCAGGTATGACCTAAATCATATCCCTGATGAATATACAGTAGAGGTGACAGATAGATTTAAGGAATTAGATCTGATAGACAGAGTGCCTGAAGAACTATGCACAGAGGTTCGCAACATTGTACAAGAGGCAGCAACTAAAACCACCCCAAAGAAAAAGAAATGCAAGAAAACAAAATGGCTGTCTGAGGAAACTTTACAAATAGCTGAGGAAAGAAGGGAAGCAAAAGGCAAGGGAGAAAGAGAGATACAAACAATTGAATGCAGAATTCCAGAGAATAGCTAGAAGAGATAAGAATGCCTTCTTAAATGAACAGTGCAAAGAAATAGAAGAAAACAATAGAATAGGGAAGACTAGAGATCTCTTCAAGAAAATTGGAGATACGAAGGAAACATTTCATACAAAGATGGACATGATAAAGGATCAAAATGGCAGGGACCTAACAGAGGCAGAACAAATTAAGAAGAGGTGGCAAGATTACACAGAAGAACTATGTGTTTAATTGTTATTGTCTTAATTTATTGTCGTGAGCCGCCCCAAGGCTTTGGCGAATGGGGCGGCATAAAAATGTTTTAATAAATAAACAAACAAACTATACAAGAAAGAGCTTAACATCCCTGATAACCACGATGGTGTGGTCGCTGACCTCAAGCCAGACATCCTGGAATGTGAAGTCAAATGGGCCTTAGGAAGTTTGAGCAACAACAAAGCTAGTGGAGGAGACAGTATTCCAGCTGAGCTATTCAAAATCCAAAAAGACAATGCAGTTAAAGTGCTACACTCAATATGCCAGCAAATTTGGAAAACTCAACAGTGGCCACAGGATTGGAAAAGGTCAGTTTACATTCTGATCCCAAAGAAGGGCAATGCCAAAGAATGTTCAACCTACTGCACCATTGCACTCATTTCACATGCCAGCAAAGTTACGCTCAAAATCCTACCAGCTAGGCTCCAGCAGTATGTGGACTGAGAACTACTAGAAGTACAAGCAGGATTTCAAAGAGGGAGAGGAACTAAAAATCTAATTGCCAACATACACTGGATCATGGAGAAAGCTAGGGAGTTCCAGAAAAAATATCTACTTCTGCTTCACTGACTATGCTAAAGCCTTTGATTGTGCGGATCACAACAAATTGTGGCAAGTTCTTAAAGAGATAGGAGTACCAGACCATCTTATTTGTCTCTTGAGAAACCTATATGCAGGTCAAGAAGCAACAGTGAGGACACGGAAACACTGATAGGTTCAAAATTGAGAAAGGAGTTTGGCAAGGCTGTATACTGTCGCCCTGACTATTTAACTTAGGGCTAGATGAATCACCAGTTGGAATTAAGATTGCTGGGAGAAATATGAACAACCTCAGATATGCAGATGATACCACTGTAATGGCAGAAAGTGAAGAGGAACTAAAGAGCCTCTTGATGCGGGTGAAGGAGGAGAGTGCAAAAGTTGGCTTGAAACTCAACATCAAAAAAACTAAGATCATGGCATCTGGTCCTCTCACTTCCTGGCAAATAGATGGGGAAGAAATGGAGGTAGTGACAGATTTTATTTTCCTGGCCTCCAAGGTCACTGCAGACAGGGACTGCAGCCAAGAAATTAAAAGACGCTCCTGGGGAGGAAAGCTATGGCAAATCTACACAGCATACTAAAAAGAACAGACATCACCTTGCCAACAATAGTGCGTAAAGTCAAAGCTATGGTTTTCCCAGTTGCAATGTATGGTTGTGAAAGCTGGACCATAAGGAAGTCTGAGCGCCGAAGTATTGAGGCCTTTGAACTGTGGTGCTGGAAAAGACTCCTGCGAGTCCCTTGGACCGCAAGGAAATCAAACCGGTCAGTCCTAGAGGAGATCAACCCTGACTGCTCTTTAGAAGGCCAGATACTGAAGATGAAACTCAAATACTTTGGCCACCTAACGAGAAGGAAGGGCTCCCTGGAGAAGACCCTGATGCTGGGAACGATTGATGGCAAAAGGAGAAGGGGACGGCAGAGGAAGAGGTGGCTAGATGGAGTCACTGGGGCAGTGGGTGTGGGCTTGGATGGACTTCAAGGGTTGGTGGAGGACAGCAGAGCCTGGAGGAATGTTGTCCATGGAGTTGTGAAGGGTTGGGTATGACTTTGCAACTAAACAAAAACAAATCTTGAAATTGATGCAGGTCTGTACATAAATGTTTTAAATACATAAAATTTGTCAAGAACTTGCTTTACTATCTCTGTTTGGTCCTGGATTTAACTCAGTGGGGAAACTCAGGTGAGATAACCATATCTAAAACTGAATGCCCGCACCCTACTTCTTATGTGGTGGCCAAAGAATAAATTATTTTCCAGAATTCTTGAATTTGGCTATTCTATCCTTTTAGTATAGGGTCAGGCATACATTTGACTGAACAAATCTCTTTTAAAAAGACAACTTACCTTACATACAGTCACAGGCCAGTGATGCACTAAGTATAATTTTCCCCACGTATGAGGGTGTTCATTCCTGAAACATACAATATTACATTTTGTATTCTTTGAGATATTAAGAAGCAAAAGAAATTCAACTAATAGAAAACATGCATTGTAGTTTAATTGTCAATTTTCAAAGCATTAAACCTCCCTATTCAACAATTTTTGTATATGGCAAAATAGCAGCACAATGTGGGGAGGGGTTCCAATGCTAGGTATAGAGAATGAGAGTCAGTTTCTTTGTATGTGTGTAGTTTTGTTTTATTTTTCAGGGAAGTCTGGACTGTGACGTCTCCAACAAAAATTGAAGTCTATCTTGAAGCTGCATCACAGTGCTGAAGATGGACATTGAGGAAAGTTGCCTCTTCAAATGGCAGCTGTCATGGTAGCCTCAAAGAAATCTTCAGCTGAACATGCTGTTCTCCCTCTCAAAGCATTCATTTAGAGGAAAGTGTGAGAAAGCCCATCTCAAGAGATAAATGGGGAAAGTGCATTTTCAGAAACGGTGAGCAAAATTGAAAATTCCTCGAAGAAAATAACTTTAATGGTTATTAAGAAACTGGTTAACAGCAATATGGCTTGGCAGGAAACTACCATTTTGTTCTGTTCTGGAGATCAGTCTGCACATTTGAGGGAACAACTGCTTAAGAATGCTATTTAGAGTAAAATGTAGAGCACTTATCAGGAAGAGCTTATAGCTGGAGACAAGAGACCTGGTTTATACATCACAATAACCTATAGTGGGTCGTGAGCCTTGCTTGTGTCAGCATGACTTATTCTGAAAAATGAACCCAGTGAGGCCAAGAAGCCATGTGTTATTTGACAATTGCTTCCCCATCAAACAAGCTATGCTAGCCAAATACAGATGACATTTATTAATTTATATTTATATTTTCATTTATATGCTGTCTACTACTGTAGTCTCAAGGTTGCTAATTACCATGACACGACAAGCTGTAGTTAGGATGGTAATTCAGCCAATGGCATCAGTATGCATTGCAGCTTAAACAAGCCACCATGGTTTGATTAAGTTGTGGTAATGTGCAACTTGGGTTGTAGACAGGGCAAACACCTAGATCTCTTCAGAAATTATACTTAGAAATCACTACAAAATTGACCAGAATATACTGCTAAAACACCTTTTAGTAGAAGGGTACTCTAACTAATATTCTACACATGTAGTGACATGTGGAACTAGAGATTTTTCAATCATCCTAGAGAGCATTCATTTTCTTTGAACATCTCACTACTTACTGTTGCACCTTGCTGGAAAGAAAAAATGGATTTACTGTAATATTCACTCTGTCCTAGTGAAGAAAATGAAGTCAGCCCCATTCAATGGTTTGTTACTAAGAAATTCCAGTAAGCTCACTGATGCTTACAGAGTTCCCTGTGATTTTTTTCCCACATGACTTGTGGATTGTTAATTGTTTCAGGCCCTTCCAGGGATGTCTCCTGTTTTAGTCACACTTATTGTTCATTTCTCTCTCTGCACTGATGATTGCCTTCCGCATATTGGAATTTTCTTAGAGCTTCAGAGGCTCTTAGAAGCTGAAGTTTTACTTCACTTGGGGTGAGATGGGGTCTTCTTGCCATAAAATCTCAAGCCCCACCTTTTAGCACAACAGAAGAGTTAACATTTCAGTTTTCCTGAGTGAAAGGAAGTCATGCTATGCAGATCTCATGAACCAAAAGCTCCCAACTAGAACTGGACAGAACAGCATAAGATCTATCCAGTTGATCCCTTCTGCAGATATGACTGCTTCTGCCAGTCAGTTGATGAGATGGCCAATTCAGCAGCCTCTCCACAGGCTCCAAACCTGCTTTGTAGGATTGGGGGACCCTCCAAAGCAGTTGGAAGGAAGCCCAGGTAGAGGAGATGAATGGAAAGATCTGCTCACACAATATTAAATTTCACCCACTATTTCAGACTGCGTTTTCTCACTTGACAAGATGTTACAATACTCATTGCAGAGTTGTCACTATCACCCTTTAACACACTTGATAGCGGACTTACCCGTTGGCTAAAGTACATTTAGCGAATGTAGAAAAGATACCAAGCCAAAAGCACGAACCAATCAAAACATATAGGATCACAGGTTTCATTTTTTAAAATTCACAACGCATCTGTGTAGAAAAAGAAATATGTAAGCAGAACACCACAACAAGGTAACTGTTAAAATAGAAGAGAAATTAAACAGGTAAAAACAGTTGATACAAATTGCGTTAAATGATGAGACTGCTGGCAGAATCCAATTGTGCCATTGTGCAACAGAAAGCTAGCAGTCCAAAATTTAGCTCTAGAATAAAGTGCAAAGACTCATTTCTGCATTAAGGCAGGTCAATAGGTCTTCTGTCTACAAGTTCTGCTTATTTGTTCCATTCTGGAAACAAACAAACAAGCAAACAAACGTTTCTGGTTGTTTTTTAACCACTAGCTCCTGGTTGTGCTACTGATGTGTCTTGCTGATGCATAGGCAGACTTGGATATTGTCCTAGGTGTTACTGCTTAACTTGCAATATTTCTTTTAAAGAGTGCATGATTACCCAGCTGGAAAGATTGAATAGTGAACTGTGTGCAGCAAAAGATGCACCATTTATAAAACTAATGCAATGTAGCAGGTGAATTAGTATTAATACAGAAACCTTTTCTGCATAACTTATGGAAAGCCCCCATTGTATTCTAAACTCCCCACAGTATCCATCCATCTCCCACCCCCATTTCAACATCATTGTGTTGGAACACATTCCAATTCTACTGCAGGAGCAGCATCCACATTCCATGAGGCATTACGCACCTCTGTTTCCTCTTCCTATTTGGGTCCTAGGCCACCAAATGGAATGGAAAATCTGTGCACATTTCTGTGCTCAGCCCCCACCCATCTCAGTCACGGAATGAAGGCTCAGCAAGGGTGGAGGCAGCTGGTCATGGATTGGAAAGAGAAGCATTAACTGAATGGAACCTATAACAACTTGGGATCCCTACACATGTGGAGAAAGGAATTGGAAAGAGCATTCTGTATAGCTTGCATACAGACCAGATGTTTGGTCTTATTATATTTGCAGACTTCACTTAAACCAGTAAGTGCATGTAAACAAATATGTACATCGTCAAAACTGAAACATTTCTGTTAAAAAGCTGCAAATAAGTTTAAGTGCAGGAAGGATTACAAAAGTGTTCCTCTAATGTTTAAACTTTTGACAGACTACAATAAGCAACTTGATTAATCTACAATATTGGTATTTAATTTCAATGCATTAGGTTGCTTGGCACAGGAGCAAGCTTGATTAGAACATTTATCAAAAAAGATTTTTCTTCAAACATGATTTAAAAAATAAGGCAGAATGCCAAATCCTCTCCTTCACTATTCACTTGTACTATTTGAGCAACTTGCTTAATTACTTCTCTCAGTTCCCTAACAACTTGATGTCATTGGTTCTGTTTCTGAATCATCCAATAAACACTGCTTCAGCTGTCCAAAAAGCAAACATTCTTCAAGAAGTTAAAACCATGAGTTGGATTCACAAAATCTTCATGTGGACAGAAAAGTTCCTTCTGATAACAGATTTGTGAATCAGCTGAGCTTTTTCTCTGGCTAAACAAGGGAGGGAATAATCTCCCCCAGCTGCATCCCACAGAAATCTGCTTCAAAGGGTGGAAACCCCACAGAACACTAGGAGGGTGGTGCTGGGAACTGCAGAGGGAAAGATCATTTCCCCACTCCCCCATTCTGCTCTGAGGGGAACTTTGCTTTAGGATGTTCCTGACAGCAGAATCAAAACTCTGAATCCATTTTCATGATTCTAAATATGTCACAAGAATTATACAGAAGTAAACGCTGATGAAACTAATCATTGTTAATCTGTTCAGACTGATTCTAGAGCTGTAGATGCAACTCTGTTCGAGGAACACGACAAATTATATCAGTTTTGTTAACAGGCAGTGTAAGATATATAGGAATAGAGGGGACAGTTGTCCAATGCTGTTCTGTTTTAAAAAGCAGTAAAGCTTTTAGCTTCCCCTTGCTATTTACAGATGCATTAATTGAAATTTTTAGTATTTATTCTGTATCATTTCTCTCACATGCAGAGATGTACACAGTGGTATGATTCCTCTGCTGCAACAAAGCTATCCCTCTTGCTGTTAGTAAAGTACTTGAGTATCATTAGCTGTCTTAAGTGTCATTTTAGTAGAATAGCAGGCTAAAAATAACTGAATACTACTAGTACATTGGCACTGACTTTTATCAAACTCCAAACATACTTTGGATCTTTTCCCCATCAAGGCAAGCTCAAATTATGTACTTAATTACCTGAAACAGGCACTAAATGAGCATATATTAAGATATTTGCATGGCTGATGAGAATAACACATTCTAATATTGACATTTGAAATATCTGAATTTTAAAATAAGATTGTGGAGGTCCCTATATGCACATACTACAGCTGAAGACTAAAATCCCATGTGAAAATGAGATATAGAGATTTATCTTGCAGACAAGGATCCTGTTAGATAGGAGCAGTGTCAAATGCTGTACAAAAAGCATTAGAAAACCACCATTTTCCCATCCAAAAAATAAGCAGTATCAACATTGCCCTCTTACACTAGAATCATTTCAAGACCGCCTTCTGTTGCTTTTAGGATCTGTATACTCCACATTAACTTCAGATCCACTATGCACAGAAATCTATACTCAGAGTCATTAATGAAAATTACAACCCTTGGATCACTTGATATTTTTGAAGCACTCTTACAAATAATACATTGCAAGTGTAAAATCAAATCCACTTATTTTACCTGCTTCTGCAACTATACAGTTGTTAGAGGTTATTAATGGGTAGATGAACTCAAATGACCTTGTGAATGTGCATCTCTGTACTTTCTGTCCATTAAAAAACCCCCAATTTACTAGATTCTTCACTCCTTTCCACATAGATAACTGATTGTAGAATAATTTCATCATCGTGTTTGGATCCACCCCTTCTTCTAAGGAGGGCCATAGATAGGACTGTTCTATTTTATCCTCATAACTGCTAGTGAGGCAAAGAAAGAAACAGAGACCTGACGAGGGCTCAGCAGAACTTCCATCTAGGTATCTCTGCTCCGAGTCAAAGACATTATCCACTATGCTTGCACTAGTTGTTATATGCTATCAGCTAATTCATTCTCCCTTTATCTTAATTGCTCAAACAAAACCATTGAAGGTTGGGGAAAACCAAAGGTTCACCGAAGTACAACTATTACATAAGAAAAGAGAGAGTCTCTAAGGGGAAGGGGGAACAAACTGAAAACTTCCCAGGGTATATTGAACATGCTCAGTGGCCATGGCACACTGGCTGACTATTTTTGGCGGGGGTGGACATAAAATCAGGAGGAAGAAAAGAAATGAAAGGGGAATGGCTTTTGCTGGTTTGTCAGGAGCACTCCACACTAAAGTCTCACTTGTGCAGCTATAAAATACAAAAATGCTTGCTGAAAAATAGATGTTAATTCTATATTCCTGGCAAGCACTATGGTCAAAGAAGGTATCCACAAATTTTCCTGGCCTTGGTAGCCAAGAGAACATTTGTGTTTATCAGGATGCTACCTCTTTCTTTCTGTGCCAGCCTATGCTTAAATAAAACTCACATTGCATTCAGTGAGGCTCACTTCTACATATGCATTTATAGGATTTCAGCTTTAATCACTCATCTTGTGCAACAGGAAGGCCCGCAACAATACTTTACCTTTCTTTTCCACTCCAACTTTTATACTTGGAAGGCAGGGGCTTTGCTTTGGCAGGGGATGCCCAAGACATTTTAGCAGTCCCAAGAGCCTGTGTCAACTTTCCACTGCAGAGCCAGAGGAAAATCTGTGCTCATTCTAGTCCAGGCAAGCTACCTCTGAGAGAAAGGCAATGGATGACAGAAGTACTCTAGACTGTTCACCAGGAATGATGCTTGCTGCCTTGCCTCTAATCACCCTAATTCCAGGGCAATAAAATTATAGCCATGGAAAGGGTAACCCTAACCCTAACCCTGGCCTGGACGCATGTGATGTACTAATCATGCTTAAGCTTATCTGGTCTAGGCCCAGTCAGTCTGGAAACTGCATGGACGCCACTTTGTGCTCTAGGGGAAAATGAAGGAATACAAGCATAATTACTAGAAGTTATATTTTTATGCTCCTTAACCATTCTGCCAGTCAAACCATATCCCTCCAAACAATGCAATACAAAACAAAACAGCCACTCTGAAGAATACTTATCCAGACAAATAACTTATCCTGATTTTTAAGAGCACAATTCTCATGAACTCTACTTGCACACAGGAGAACCAATGGGTTGAAGCACCATATTTTTCCTTCGTTTCTGGCAGGGACATCTACCAAAATGCTTAGCTTTGCATAAGTAATAAAGTCGAGGAGCGGTTCTGGAAAACACCGGAGCAGCTTCCTCGTTACAGAAGCACTGACTTAATACCCAAGTCCCCTGTCGCCAGCTCTCCTCCTGTGTGGGCTATACACACGAAAGTGCTCCCTCACGATTTCTATGGTTCGTGCTCCCAAGAAAGCACCGCCTTGCTGCTTCCAACCTCCCACAATGACTGCGGGCGGCGGGGATCCGTAAATGACCTCCCGGGAAGCAGCATCTCGGAGAGCAGCGATCTTGCCCGGAAGCCCCACTGCGCTCAAAGGGGATGGAGCAGCAGGATTCCAGGGCAAGCCTACACAGGGCTGCACGCCAAACGGCTTGGATACAAAGCCACAAGCTTATGGACGCTCTCTGAGAACTCGATGCCGTGCAATACCGTGTGGCTTGCGCTCAAGCCAGCGTGCGTAACAACCCGCTAGAAAGCCAGGAAGACTTATTTCCAATAAGTGCAGCTCGTGATATGGAAGCAACCCAGAGCTTAAACCCTGCAGGGTATTTACCTGGCTCGTGATCGAAGAGAACTAAAAAGCGGCTAAGCGCTTCAGCCCGTCGCTTCCCTGCAGAGAGCAGCACTTCCGCAAAGACGCTAAATCCCGCCCACACTGCCTGTGCTGTCGAAAACAAAATTGCTCTTGGGTGAATGCCTGACTGCTTGTCTTGCCTCCTGAATTTGATAAACTACCTATTTGCCAAGACATCGTCGGATGATATTCTAATTTCTCCGTGCACTGTTGTAGAAAAAACAATGGTAGCACCGTTATGTAACGGCATTACTGTTAGACACATTATACGAATTGCCATGAAAGGCAGGGATTGCAAATTTTACATTTAAAAAAATGAAGTTAGGTTTTCTGAAATCACCTTGTCTGAAGGCAGAGAGGTTACACTAGCAGAGCAATCCTAAACGGTTTAAATCCGAAGTAAGGCTACTAAGTTCTTCATACACAAGCTAGTAAGTGCCCTGTTGAAATCAATGCAACTTCCAAGAATAGCAAAGTTAGTATTTTTCAATTTCCATCATAACAGGCTGATTCTATGCAGTTATTTATACTTCATTAATTAAATTTAAGCTGGAAATTTGAATTTCCAGCTGGAATTTGAATTTAAGCTGGAAATGTGTACTTGATTGCATTTTTGTAACTCTCAGGATGTCAAGACCAGCTTAAATTTGTTAAACGCTACATTGGAAGAGTAGCAAAAAGGAGCTACGATTCACTTAAAATATCTCAATGTATCAATCTCAGTATCTCATGGTATGATACTACGTATCATACCATGCAGTACAGCAAATAGAAAAGGGGAAATAAAAGTGCTGAGAAAGCAATGTTATGTTCATATCTTCCCACATGTCATGAGTAAAACTTAACACATTCACCCACACACCCAAGAGCTAAAAACAGCAGCATTTTCTCCTAGAAGTTCCACTGATTTAAGTGGAGCTTGCTCCCAAGTAAGTGAATGCAGCTTTTCATCCTTGCCTCCAACCTAACCCATTTGTTGAAGAAAACTAACTCCCACCTGGCAAACATAAAGACAGCTATTTTGGTGGTAGATGTGTTACTGGATGGCAAGGGTGCTGAATCTCTTTCAGCCCTAGGATTAACTCAATTTTGGAGAAGCTCTCAGGAGCACATTCTAGTGATGAGCATGGAAAAAAGCACAGGCTCCAAAATATCAGTATATTTTAGTTTAAAATTGTTATTGTTGATATCTAAACCTTTTTTTTTTAAAGGTGGGGCTGTATAAAAGATAGCACCCATCAGACAATGGCTGAACTGGGATCCAGCCCACATGTATACTTTCTTATTAGATGGGCAACTGCTACGGTTCAGTTCATTCATCCCTAGAAGACCTTTACACTATTTAGCTATAGTAAATATAATTTTAAATATTACAACAAATATATTCAATGAATATGTAGCACTACATGTAACTTTTGTTGAAAGAGCGAGCATTATTTTTCATGAAAACCTCCTTCTTTGTTGATTGAAATTGGGAACGTAGAGATGAATATTTTGTATTCTCTTTTTAAAAGGTGATAATAACATGGCAAGATACATATTCTCTGTTCCTGCCAGCTTTTATACATAGTCTTCTTGTGGACAGGAAGTTTGCAACCCAAGTCTTTTACATATAATGGAATGAATGACTTATCAATGGTGATTAAGTGGTCTTCCCATTTCAGGTGGGATATAGTTCTTCCTAGGCCAGCCGACACCACTATATACACCCAGAAAAAAGAAGAGTTTGAAAGAGAAATCAGTGCTTTTAATGCCTGCTGCAGATAAGTACATTTTTCATGGAGAAAGCTAGGGAGTTCCAGAAAAACATCTACTTCTGCTTCATTGACTATGCTAAAGCTTTTGATTGTGTGGATCACAACAAATTGTGGCCAATTCTTAGAGATGGGAGTACCAGACCATCTCATTTGTCCCTTGAGAAACCTATATGCGGGTCAAGAAGCAACAGTGACAACTGGACATGGAACCACTGATTGGTTCAAAATTGAGAAAGGAGTTCGGCAAGGCTGTATACTGTCGTCCTGCCTATTTAACTTATATGCAGAGCACATCATGAGAAAGGTTGGGCTAGATGAATCACCAGTTGGAATTAAGATTGCTGGGAGAAATATCAACAACCTCAGATATGCAGATGATACCTCTCATGGCAGAAAGTGAAGAGGAACTAAAGAGCCTCTTGATGCAGGTGAAGGAGGAGAGCGCAAAAGTTGGCTTGAAACTCAAAATTAAGAAAACCAAGATCATGGCATCCGGTCCTCTCACTTCCTGGCAAGTAGATGGGGAAGAAATGGAGGTAGTGACAGATTTTAGTTTCCTGAGCTCCAAGATCACCACAGATGGCGACTACAGGCAAGAAATTAAGACGCTTGCTCCTTGGGAGGAAAGCTATGGCAAATCTAGACAGCATACTAAAAAGCAGAGACATCACCCTGCCAACAAAACTGTGTATAGTCAAGGCTATGGTTTTCCCAGTTGCAATGTATGGCTGTGAAAGCTGGACCATAAGGCAGGCTGAGTGCAAAAGGATTGAAACCTTTGAACTGTGGTGCTGGAGGAGACTCCTGCGAGTCCCTTGGACTGCAAGGCAATCAAACCAGTCAGTCCTAGAGGAGATCAACCCTGACTGCTCTTTAGAAGGCTACATACTGGAGATGAAACTCAAATACTTTGGCCACCTAATGAGAAGGAAGGCCTCGTTTAGCCTATCTGTTGTTCTTTCATAACAAGCCACACTGAAGACCAATTTATACTTGTATACATAGCAAGCCACAGTGAAAGCCATTCATTGTAATTGCTACAAAAATGCTGGCTCATCTGCAGTAAATGTGTAGTGTACATCTCCATGCATGCAATGGGAAGCACAATGGAACCCTAGTTAATTCTGTTATCCCCAATACAGGCATACCAGCTATCCCTTAAATGTTTGGAGAAACATGTCCCTCTTTCATTGTTTACAAGTTTACTGCAGTGAATGCCAATTAAACACCAGTGCACCCACAGAGCACACAGGGACACTATTGCCCTAGCATCCTGTCAAAGTCTTAACCTTTTTACTATAATCATATTAAGGCTGTTTAGTATTAGGTTGTAGAGCATGCTTCCAGACCAGGCATTTATCAAGCATTCCATCAGCCTGCCTCATGCACAGACATCAAAGTTCAGTTGTGTTCCCCTCATCACTACTTTTATCTTTTTCCTGACCATGGAACATGTCTTAAGAAATAAAGATAGAATTGCTGCACAATGTCTTCTGCTTGTTAGTGCAAGGAACCTTCCATCAGGAAGTACCAAGGACACTGGAAGCGTGTACAACTTTTCCACAATGAGGGTGGCTTTTTGGTATACAGGATTTGGATGAAAATTAATACAATAAGCTTCATTAAATCAACTAACTACCCTATCTAGTAATACAAGACCTATGAAATTGAATTTCCTCAGGCTAGGTTGGCTGTAAATTTTAAAGGTCAGAACATAGATGTTTAGTGCCACCTGCAGCATCATTCTGGAAACAACAAACACTATACATTATTCCTGATATCATCTGAAACAAAGCAATTACTGGGACTTAGAAAAACTTTTTACATTTACAGCCTAGTACTGTGCAAATAGGATCAGAGTGTTCATTTTGGGTCTCATTTTGTCTCTGCATGGGAAAGCCAACATGGAGAGGTAAAATTATGAACATAGCATTTTATGCATTTGTTAACAAATGTTTAGCTTAGAGTGCCAGCAAAAAGTGATGATGCTTCGACATGATGCTTTGGGCTTGTCTATTTTTGTTCTTGTTAGTCGTTAAGTCGTGCCCGACCCATTGCGACCCCATGGACATTATTCCTCCAGGCCTTCCTGTCTTCCACCATCCCCCGGAATCCAATTCAGCTCACAGCAACTGCTTCAGTGACTCCATCTAACCACCTCATTCTCTGCCACCTCTTCTTCTTTTGCCATCTATACTGGTGATTATACCCAGAATTATTGTGCAGTATTCTTCATACTTCTCATTCCACAAAATTTTACCTGGAACCTGAAAGTGGTGTGCAACAAAGTAAACAGGAGTTATTTATTCAAAACCAAATACTATTGAGGCAGTATCCTACTGAAGTTTCTAAGGCAGTGTGCTATAGCAAAAACTTTGGAAGCAAGGTCAGTTGTACCAGCCAGTCACTAGCACTGAAGTTCATTGAGTTTTTCTGTTGTCAATTATATTGGATCTTTGCTTGCTCACTCGTAATATTACAGTAGCTCACATTTATCTGGAATAAATGTGAATAATGTAATATATTTAAATATAATAAATTGACATTTTAATTTATGGCCCTTTAGGATGTTGATGTCTAATGTTTTGGGGTACCACCCTTATTTGCTGTGACCTTCTGCTGATATAAACAACTAAAAACACAAGGGGTGCAAAAATTAAATGTGCATCCCAAGCCTATTCATGTTTACTAAGCTTACCTGTTTTAAGTTTTGAGGTACTTTCAGTCATTTGATTTCATTAAAGTATTCTTATGAGTAATTTCAACATTTACTCATTGAAATTGCAATTCAATGGAAACTGAATACATTTGATCATATAGTTTTGATTAAAGTGTAAGTAAATATTTTCTTTAGTATATTTAGTAACACCACTCATTTATTTATTTAAAAATCATGTTCCAGCACTTCCAAATGTCTATTGAGGGCTGGAATCTTAAAATTACTTGAAAGTAAGTCCAATTCAATTATGGAGTTTTTCTAAGTAAGTGCAAGAGAGGATTGGAGTGCAAGAGTATGCAGCTTCTTACTTTGGGTGGGGCTGCTCTTGGGCTATGTTCTTTAAATCAAAGTCACAGCAAAGAATCTTCATTAAACAGCATTCCCAGTTAAGAACTGACATAAACACTCCAGAAAAAAACCATGAGAAGTGGGAAATGAATTTTATCCAGAAATCCATAAACTCTGAATCTCATGTGCATCACACCAGGGAAGCAGAACATTAATTCACATCTCTGCTTTTGCTACTTCTGCATAGCCTTTACAGTTGCTTATAATGCAATCCTACACACACCTACTTGGAAGTCAGCCCCACTGAACGCAATACAGGTTACCCCAGTATAATCGGGTATGGGATAGCGGTCTTAATTCCTGATGAAAACAACGATAAAATGCATATTCTACATTTTAGCTTGGATGAGGGAACCCAACAGGAAAAGAGTGGAGGGGAAAGGTACTAAAACTCCACTGTACCGTCTGATAAAAACAACTGACTTAAAAAACCAAGAAGCAGATCCTTTGTGACATTGTTTTTCACATTTCCTTCAGAAAGCTGAGCAACTTACACAGGGATGAAACATTTCCTTCGCTTCAAAAAACATACGAGCAGCCCCATTAAAGGAAAGAAAGCAGCCTTCTAAAACTCCCGCCTCTTACACCTCCAGCCAATCGCAGAGCGGGGTCACGGGTCGTCCGTTCTCATTCGCACATTCAGGCGCCTTGGGTGGGCCTGGAGTCACAGCTGCCTCCGATGGGTGGCTGCGAGGCCGGTCGCTCACGTGCTCCTTCTGTTTCCCCCACCACCTCCTCACGCCAAATGCTCCTCCCCCTCCTCGAGTAACGAATCTGCAGGGCTGAGTTCGTCGCTAGTTTAGTTTAGGCGGTTGTCAGGGTGAAGGAAGATGGCGACTGCGACGGAAGAAGATACAGAGCTGAGAGACCTCCTCGTGCAAACTCTGGAGACGACTGGAGTGCTAAATAAAATCAAGGTGAGAAGCAGACGGCGGGTGGGCGACTGCTGTCAGTCTTTATCAAGCGGTGAGAGTCCTTTGTAGGAATCCGAAGTCTGCGCTCGTGAGACGCCGGGCGAAGCTTGTGGTAAGAAGTCGGTTGTGCGGCCCTCGCGGAACGACACCAACGGCACTAACGGTCGCCAACTGTCATTCCCGCCCTCGGGGCAATACGGTCTAGGTAACAATGCCACGCGCTGACTTCGTATCAGGGCGCATGCGTAGAACTCTTCCTGATGGAGTACAGGACTGGTAAGGAGTCTTGCCGAGTCAGATCCAGAGGCCTTTCTCGTTCAGCATCTTATTTCCTCCTCAGTGGCTAACTAGATGTCCCAGGAACTGGGAAGCAAGCAGAGCATAAGAGCACTCGCCCCGTGCGGTTATTTTTTGAAGCTTTTTAGTGGCCTTGTATAACTGATAGGCCATAGCCACTGACAGACGTATTCTGCATGAATTTGTCTAATCCTCTTTTAAAGCCATCCGAATTGGATGCTATTACAACACCGTCTGGTAGCAAATTCCATTGTCTATTCACTGTTTAAACATGCAGTTCCTTTTTTATGTCATTGTTCAATCTTACTGGATAAACTTTTTTTAGCTTTGTGGTATGTGTTTTTTTTTTTAAATGCAGCATTCTAAGTATGGCGTTGAGTAGGTGTTTTCATTAGACTGCCTACCATGAGCCCAAGAACTGTTTTCTGGTTAGTCACTGCCAGCTCAGACCCCAAGACTGTTTGCTTAAAATTAGGATCTTTTTGTCCCAATCTGTATTAATTCACATTTACTTACAATGAACCTCATTTCCCAATTTGCTGCTCTTTAACTCAGATCCTTTGTTTATGCCTACTGAACAATTTTGTCAACAAATTTGACCTCCTTGCTGCTCACCCAAATTCTTGGTCATTTGGAAAAAATACTAACTAGCCTGTCATTTTTCTAGATCCCTTTAAAAAATGAATCTGTGTTGGCCATTTTCCACTTTTCTGGTTGTAGCTGTGACATTCTGTTGGCTTTCCTCTGTGGATCAGTTGTAAAGCTGTTGTGCAATTGTTTTTGGTATAGAATAATTTATGTTTCAGTTCATGTGCATCCAATCCATTTTGTGCAGTCCCAGCTTGTCTCAAAATACTCTCAAGTGCCTAACAGATCTAAGTCTCTTTCCCCTGGTGACACTGTCTCATTTGCCGTGCTGATGAAACAGGTAGCCTTTTAGGGAAAGGTGCTTTGGATGCCCTAGATTTCATGTTCTTAGGTAGTACTTCCAGATCTGGGCAACTGTACATCCTCACAATGTCACTAACGCCAACATATGCTATGACTGTGACTCCTTGCCAGCATGTAACAATAGATCAGTCTTGTTCCTGAGGAACAGTAGTTCACTTTCCTGAGTCAATACCCTGAACTAAAAAACTGTGTTTTAAACTGAACTCAGGTCAACATTTGAATTTGTAAGCTGCAATTAAAGCCTAACTAAGCTTGAACTGAGACCTACACCTACATTTTTATTTGTAAGCAGACATTTCACTTACTAAGTCCGCACTAAAACCTTGTCAATGTCAGTGAAGAATATCTTACCGATAGTTGGGATGTGTGTGGGCATAAGTGCACATTAATCAATTACATGAGATCTTTTGTCAAAATTCCTTTTTTGCTCTGACAGTTTCCAAAGGACTCATGGTAGTGGTCAGGCTCACTACCACTCAGGATGGGGAACTACACAGACAGTGCCCTCCAACAGAAACTACTAGAGAGCTTACAGATATTCACCCCATTCTGGCAACTTGGGACAAGTGTTGACTTCAGTCCTCTTAATGTTGATACATAGGTTTCATTAGATAATCAGATGTGATGGGTGGTAGAGCAAAAACTTTGCAAACAAGAACAGGAGTTATCTTGAAGCACGATACAGTTTAAAACTTCTCAAAGAGTGTTCAGATTAGCTACATGGAAAAAGCAGGGTTCAGAAGAAGGAATATAGATGGGAGAGAGAGGTTTCAAATCACATTATTGACCATGCATAAGAATGTGGCTGACGGTGGAAAATAAAGCTTCACAGGTGAGACTTGAAGAAAGAAAATCCATTCCATAGTTGTTATGCCAGGTAGTCTTGGGGACTAATGCATCTCAAAAGGAGGTGCTCGTCCTCCAGATTGCCTTGAAAGGTTTAGGATCTTTGGCTGGGGTTTAACGTGTGCTGCCAGAGAAAGAACACAGCCTAGCTTTGCAGTCTCACAAACACGTATAACACATAGAAAGCAAATGAAAGCTTATTCAGCAGATAATACAGAGTGGGTACAAAGGTCTTAGCCCAATGTTGTCTATGCAGCAAATATTTTTATTGCATGCTAATCATATGCTGAATTTTTAAAGCAATAAAGAGCTTTCTGCCTAACAGCTTATAGCTAGAAGCTAACAGATGAAGAGGTTGTGAGTCTGTACTTGTCCTGCACAGTAGACTCTGGGCAGCTTTCCTTTATGTGGGTAGGAAGGAGTGCAAGATGTCCATATTCCACACTGGGTTGCCAGATGTGGGTTCAGAGTTTGCCCTTTTCCATTTTCTAAGTCCCTGATTCTTATACTCTTGCCTTCTATATTTGCTTCTGTGGGAATTGGGAGGTTCCCATTGTTTCCCAGACTTATGCTAATTGTTGGATACCTGTTTGATTGTTCTTGATGACCTTATCTACTACTGTCTGTTACATGACCAAGTCTATCTTCTATGGATAAAAAAGTCTTGACTGACTGCCGTTAATGGGGCATTTCTAGGTGTCGCAAAATAATGGTCATCTTCCTCGCAGAATACTTTTGCCTGAGGTCCTTCTTCCAGAGCCTTCCTTGAAGGAGGTTAGAAGAGTGGCTACCCGGTAGAACCCCTGCTCTGGAATTTGCTTTGCAGAGAGGTGTGCCTGGAGTCACCGCTTTATTCTTTTCAGCACCAGGCCAAAATCTTTTTATTTCCCCAGTACTTGTAAGGGTTGATGGGTTTTAAATTGGAATTTTATTTTTATACTGTATTTTAATGTCCTGTCATTGATTTGTGAACCATTTGAGACCTGTTTTGGGTAAAGATCTTGTATAAATGTTTTAAATACATACATACATACATCTTTAAGGGAAAATTCTTATGCTTTACCTTTTCTCTGCAAGAATTCCAGTATTCATTATTCACCATTTGTTTTTATCTCAGTCACCCTGGCTAACTCAGGATAGTAGGTCCCTCCTCCTGAACTGAAGCTTAGTGTAACATGGCCTGTGGCTTGGAATTCTGCCCTTACAGCGCTGCTTCATAGCCTGGGAACCTGATTTTGTGGCACTAATATTGATATACATGTACTGCATAGTTGTTAGGCCTTTGTTTCTAAATCTTTCAACTTTGTAGTAATATAGGTAAACTGGTCATAGTTTCAAAAGCACTTCCATGTCATGCTCTTTACAGAGAATGCATTATACAGAACTGTGTTTTTCAGTAAGAGTTTTGTATAACTATTTGCATTTTCCTTAAGAAAATATCTTGTTAGTTTTTTCTGGAGACTGGACTTCTGTAAATTTGCACAGGAACAGAAGTGATGTCACAGGCATATTGTTATGTCACAGTGGGAGCAAAAGTTTGATTCCTTTAAAGGACTTGAGCCCCTTTGTAACTTAAGTGCAAGGTAAAAACTAATGTCACAAGCCAGTTACAGATTCCGCCTATAAAATAAGTGACCTGTCACAGAGGTAGAAATGAGACAAGAGAAGAATGAAAGCTGCCTGTGTGATATGTTTGGTGTTTCTCTGTGCAGTAGTTTCCTTAAAACATGTAGTTACAAAATGTATGACTGCTGACTTCCTATTACAGGCAGAATTGCGGGCAGCTGTATTTCTAGCACTAGAAGAACAAGAAAAAGTAGAGGTAAGGAGTCAACTTTTTAATCATTGCACTGTAAATTACCAACTTTCTGGTGCACAGCCGCATTAGTTCTTGAATATTATTTGTTTGAGTATCCTTAAGTCTGACCAGTTGCCTTTTTTTCTTCCAAGGTGTATAACATAGCCTGAAATGAGAGGGTGGGCAGATGGTGGGCTTTCATTTGTTTTTAAAGTCTGCAGTGAATTGAAGTCCAACAATTTAGGAAAATAGTGTTATTTGACTAGATCAAAGAGAAACCATTAATTATCTGTGGTTGCCATATTCTGCCAACAGAAATTGAGTAAGGATTTGGTCAACACTGGTGCACAAATAAAAATGGCACAGTTTCTTTTGCCTCTGAAGAGGCCCACCTCAACTCAGAACATTAATTAGAGATATGTCCTATAGCACTTAAAGCAATTACTTGTATTGGTTAGTCTTAAAGCATCCAAATCAGTTTGATATTGGTGTTTTCTATTGTTCATAGTCTAGTAATAATTTAAGGGGGGCTAGGCTAAATATTAATATCAATAACCCTTTATTTAAAACATTTAACCCACTTTTCTGGGTGCACTGCCCTCACAAGATTACAGCACGTATGAAAATGCAAGTACAATTGAAAACTGTGACAGAACAGATACTTCTAACTCCCTGAACCAATCTGTTCTCCTGCTGCTGTCCCTCTTCCAAAATTCAGCAACAGTGACAGAAAAGGGGAAGTTAAACTTGCACTCAGACTTGGAACTCCAGGTTCTCCTTAGCAATGGGCCTCGCTTGAGGCCACAGAATGCTGCTTGCAGTCCATCCTTGAGTTAGGGTTTTAAAGGCCAAAAACAGTTCCTTAAATTAGGATTGGACACAAATAGGCAGACTGTGTAACCAGTAAACAATAGGCACAATATGATATGACTGCATAGCTGCGAATGTCTACTGTTTCATTCTGCCATTGCATGCCATTTCACAGCTGTGTTCAAGGGCAGTCCTTTTGTAGCATGGTTCACTAATTTAACCTGGATATAACCAAGGCTCATATCATTGGCACACATATCACTGGGTAGGTCAGCTTTCTCTAGGTAAAGCTACAAGGTGGTAGAAAGGAGTCCTGGCAGCCAGCATTATCTGCATCTCTATATAAATAGCACTGTTTACAGGAGCAATCCTGTACTACTTACCTGGTCCTTCAGGGAAGCATGGGCGTATCCTAGGTAAGATCTAAACCACTGTCCAGATTATATTTCCTAAACTACAGTTATTTCCATTTTATCCCAGTTAAAGTTCAATTTGTTGGGCTTCATCTTTCTCAATGTGACCCCCTACATTCCTATCCAGGATCTGTATAGTGATGATGTCTCAGTTCAAACTGCTGAATGACTTCTCCCAGTGGTTTCTTGTACATGGTGAAAAGTATGGGGAACAAGATAGAAACTTGAGATGCCAGTGTCCAAGGGGTGGGGGGAAAACCCTACATGACCACTTTTCAATGTTTGTCCTATGCTAGAAAGGACCAGAGCCACTCTAGTACCATGTCTTCAGTTTCTTTACTGTGGAGACTGTCCATAAGGATGCCGCCATCCTAAATGCTGAACAGTGATGCTGATTTGTAGTAATACACTGCAACACAGGAACATCCTTAATTATTTTCTTTCATTTTTGGCAGAACAAAACTCCTCTGGTAAATGAAAGTTTGAAAAAGTTTTTAAATACAAAAGATGGTAAGTTTTTTCTCAGTTCTTTAAATATACAGTATTTATTTCACAAATAAGTACAACATGGTGGAAAAAAAGAAGTGGATAGCTTGTGAGTTTCTGTGGATTAAGAACAGATTTTTTGGTCCTGCAATTAGAAATGTGATCTTTGCTAGATGCATTGTGCTTCTCCATAGGTAAAATATTTAACAGTGAGGCTTTGGTCTTTTTATAATTATCCTTTAAACTCCTTCTGTTCCTCTTTACAACAATCCAGCAAAGCATATTGCTATTATTCCTATTTTATTTATTTATTTATTTATTATTTTATTTAAAGTTTTTATATGCTGTCCCCTTGCTACATAGCCTCGGGACGGCTCACAGAAATAAATAAATACAAAATAATAACAATTACAGTATGGTTTCAGTAATCTTTATGGGTTTCTCTTGGTCATTTTTTCCATGTAGACCTTAACAGTGTAATGGATATTCATGAGAATGTTTTGGTGCTCATCATTCCACGCAGTTCAAAATATCATTTTCTTTTCTTTTTTCCTGTTTCTCCTTTGACTCCTCCTCCTTTGGTCACTGGAATACTCTCTCAGGGCCATAGGATTTTGTCCTGATTGAGAAACAACTTGCTGTGGCGCTCAGTGGAATATATGAAGAGTGGCTCTTGCTTAATTGCATTGTTTCATGGTAGTAAATGCTTAGTATTTTGTCCTTAAGAGTGCTCATTGCAGGCATGAGATTTGAACTGGGGTCATTGATTTGCAGCTCAGCTCCTATGCTACACCAGCTGAAGAGTGTAGAAGAATATGCTAGTTTGTAATACTTTGGCCCAGATAGAACAAAACGCTGATCCGTGGTTTATTTAAGCCAAGGCTTGTTGCCTTTCCCAAGGTTTGTCTGGCTAGCAAGCAAGAAACAATTGTTTATTTACCTGTTCTTTGGGTTGTATACTTACCTGCTCCTTCACCTACATCCTGTCTTTATTACAGATACTTTTGTGGTGCTATATTATTGGCATGTGGAATGTTTGAGGGGCTTTTTAAACCACACTTGTCTACTGCCCATGTCACCTGGCAAAACTACCAGTGAATAATCCACAAGTCTATGTTGAGATGTTTCTGTGAGCCGCCCCAAGGCTATATAGCAAGCGGACAGCATACAAAAACTTTAAATAAATAAATAAATAATAAATGTTAAAACATCCCAAAGCTCACAATCCCAACAACAAACTATGGGTTCTCCTTCTAGGTTGTATGTGGTTAACAAACCATAGTTTGTTGGCATGGCACAGCAACTTAGAATTCAGCCTCCCATGCCATGGGCAGGTATTATGTGCAAATCATGCCAGTGTAAATCACTTGCAACCTGAAGTTCATTAAAGTCTAAAATGCATGGTGATATTAACTCTGCCTCCCAGCATCACTCTTGAATGTTAAAAGAACTCATTCAACCCAGAATTTGTTAAGTTTGGCAAATAATACCTTCTAAATAATGAATGTGAATGCAGTCCTGGGAAATTAAATGTGGTTTCTTTCCTTCTTTCTTTCTTAGGTCGATTAGTGGCTAATCTTGTTGCTGAATTTCTTCAGTTCTTCAATCTTGATTTTACTTTGGCTGTTTTTCAACCTGAATCAAGCACAGTAAGCATTCATCATGTTCATTTCAACCATTATATCAGGTATTGTACTGAACAGAACCTGAACAGACCAAAGAATGTGGCTTAACCCACCTGCTAAGTTGCATGCTTTTTTTATCATAATTGTTGGTTGGATATGCCTGAAAATTGGTGTTTTCATGCCAGCAATAAATGAAGTGGCAAGGGCCCAGTGTTTCTTCCATTCACATATATCATAATGTTATAGACCACAGTGCAACACTAGTTGGAGTTAGCAGCTTTATATCATGTCTAATAGCATAGATTTGGGCTTAAAGCTGCAGTCCTGTACCCACTTGGCTGGGAGTAAGTCCCATTGAACTCACAGGAACTGTAGGTCACTTTTTTCCAGACGAAACACCTAAAGAGCCCTTAGCATCTCTTCCAAAGCACGTTGGAGGTGTTTGTATTTCCCTATTTCTCCCTATTATTTATTTTTTGCTTTGGTCCCATTTATTTTACCTTTGAAAGATAGTTTTTCTAGAAACTGAGGAAAAGAGAGAATTGTAAGAATTAAATCTCTCTTACCAGCATCTTTATCTAGTGGCTTCTGGTGATTTGGCACTGGCCAGTGGGAGAGTTCACATCCCTTCCTCCTCCTCAAAGACCCCTGCAAAGGGCAAAGCAGTAGGAAGGGCATTCTGGCCTCTTCTGGTGCCTAGAATGCTGAAAAAAGTAATTTGTCCACTGGTATCTGCATTATCAAGCAGATACCAGTGGTGAGAGGGAGAAGGAGTCTTCAGTTTTGATTTAAATCCAAGCTAGAGGAAAATCTGAGGATTGTAATCCCATCCCATTTTTAAGGTGAGCGTCACAACTGCTGAATTTCATATGTCAAGCCAAAGGTGATAGAAATATACAGTGCCAGATGAAGATGAGTGGTTAAGTAACTGCAACATGGAAGGAGAAATATATGACATGGACGTGTGTGTGTTTAAATGAGGAGAGAGGGATGTTAATATCTTGAATAATATCCTGGGATTGAATGTCTAGATCAGCCTTCTGCAACCTGGGTGGCCTTCAGAGGCATTTGGACCGCTCACTCCTAGAATTCCCATGCAGCTGGGCCATTGACTGAGAATTCTGGGTGTTGCAGGCCAAATGTGTCTGGAAGGCACAAGGTTGGTGAAGACTGGTCTACATATAATGTCTGTGTACTTTGGGATCAAATTGGGTTTATTCACCAGTTTGCTACCAACCTTTTTTTAAAAAAAACAGTTGAATAATATATATTGCATTGATGACTTGGAGTGTTTTGTTGTTGCTTTTTATAGTTAAATGCACTTGAGGCTCGAGAGAATTTAGCTCAGGACCTGGGAATTGTAGAAGCTAAAACTACAGTAGATGGGCCCTTATTGCTGGAAGTGGTCAGAAGATGTCAGCAGAAGAAAGGAGTTTCAAACAGCATACATGTAAGGAATGTTAATGTGTGGTACTTTAATTATCCTATTTTTTATTAAACAATTTATCTTGATATAGAATAAATTGCTTTTAAAAATTTTTATTTAGAATAGTGCTTCAAATGGCAAAATTTGGAGGAAGAATCTCTACACTGTTAGTAATCATATTAAATCTTAGGCAACTTTTTTTTTTCCTTTCTGAAATTTTTTAGGTAGCCCCAATAATACCTGACAGTGTACATTCTCCTCCAAAATCATCAGATGGAAGGTCAAACATACACCAGTTACCAAGTAAGGTAAGGCAAAACATTAAAATTATACATCATATATAACCTGTGGGAAACAGATTTTAAATTATTTTTTTCAGACACTTTCATTACTTAGTCTTAACTGTCACTTTTTAAATGCTCTTTTATAACATGGGAATAATTAACTTAGCAGCAGCTGCCTTCTCAAAGCAGTAGGTAATAGGGTGCAGTTATACTCTTGATTAGTTCATTTTAAAATGCAACTTACAAAACAATCTGAACTCAGGTTGGTGGGGGAATATAGTGATAGGTCTGCCGCTGCTTTCAAAGCTCTGCTGATTCTCATTGATCATAGCAGGAGGTGGGGATAGTTTTCAGCACAGTGGATCTTAAAAACAAAATCCCCCTTTCAGCTCAGTGGATATGCTTTTAAAAATCCACCCATCAAACATGGAACTTTTGAAAATGATCAGAAAGGCTAAAAACAGGTGAACAAAATAAAATTAGATGGGGTGGACATGGGTTAATTAGTTGGGTTTGAATGAAGTTGAAGTGCTAGATAAGGAAGCTATCACTTAATATTAAACTGCCTGCTGGAGGTGGTGATCTGTCTTGTGCAGCTGTTTCTTCGTATTGATTAACAGTATTGTTAATGTCTGTCTATAGCATCAGATAAGAGGCACCTTAGGCTTCATTGTGTTTTTCCCTTATCCAGTTATAACTTATGTTTTCCAGCAGGAAGATTGATTTTGGTAGAGACAAAGTGTCATGTATTCCATGTATTCCACTCTTATTATGTAACCTGTATGGTGGGGGAGAGTAGACTTGATAGACTCATGTGACAGTTTGCATGTGGGAAACCAATAGCCCTTTCTATCAGCTGAAAAACAGCTAAGTAAGCAGAAGATTGAGAAAAAGTCATCTGTATTCAACTTGATTAAAGTTTCATAGTATTATAAATCTTCAGCGTTGGTAACTGTATAATTATTTTTGTGTGAACTCTTTGTTTCTCCATTCCCTCTCCCAACTACCATGTACTGTTTTTCTTACAAGTTCTTACTTTTTTATAGTATAAATTGGATTTAGAATGTTATGCAATAAAGCAGGGTAGGCTATGGAATTAAGGTGAACTTGTAAAATAGTGATTCTGTGAGTGAATCATAAAATTTTTCTGCAAAGGCCTAGCTGGTGGGGTTAGACTTCAAAGGCCCAGGAGTATGTTCTCTGTTAATCTTGGCATACCTGAGGCAGGACTCATGAAATCGGAGGAAACATAGAATCCCTGCTGGATCAGATCAAAGATCCATCTAGTTTAGCATGCTGTTTCCAGAAGCCGAATGCTTGCCTGCTTGCATGGATCTATGGGGGAATGAGAACTGATGAATAAATGCACGAATGAGGCTTCTTACATTTACATTGGGAAGCTTTGGGCTTGCCTGTCACCAGGTTACCTGTCAAGTCCAGAAATTGTTTGCATGTGACAATATGAAACTTGCAGGAGTTGGTAAGATAAGTGGGGGAGAGGCAGCTTTGGACAGAGCATTTGCTGTAGCTGCAGCTATAAAACAGAGAGATAATCTATTCAGTTTGGCTAATGTTGCTACTAAAGTGATAGAGGATAGCAAAGGGTACCTTTGTTTTAGCTTGAATGTGCTGCTTGTGGGACAGAGAACAGAGATGCCAGTATCTATATGTATGCAAAGAGGAATTGTCTCACTGGTGAGGCTGAGTCATGTAAGTGTAAATCCAGTCACACTACTGCATAGTTCTGACATGTAACACAAAGTTATTTTATATCACTTAGCAACATTTGTATTTTCCACCATAATTCAAAAAGATGTAAGGCAGACTCCTTAAGCAGAATGTACCGTATACATGTTTTGTGCAAGTTAAAAATCTAATGTGTGCATGTTAAAAATGTGTGATGCAATACAAAGTCTTTTTGGTTAGCTTCCCTGAGCCCTTAAAGTAGTAGCAACAGTAGCAGAGTATTTGTTAAGTCTTTGGAGAGTTACTAGAATCAGAGGTTTACAGGTCCATTATCTTAACTGTTTTCACACCACTATTGTAGATAATCTTTCTGTACTGTGGAGCATGGAAGTCTCTGCTAGATGAATTGTTGTTTTCTGAATTCTATGTAGCAAACAGTCTTGTGTGACATGAATGAATTGTTGCAATAAATTGTTTCCTATAAAGTAAGTTGGCTGTTGCAGAAAAAATACCAAAAGCAAGATGGCAGTATAATCTCAACTATCAAACATGACAATATATTTTGAAACATCATAGTAGATAAAATGTGTCTAGGGATATGTGGGGAATCCAATAGCAGAATGAAAATCTACTTTTACCCCAACTCAGCTGTGTGGATTCCCTTCTGTCTTTCCTGTATTGGTGTTGATATCTGTTGGTAAGAGTTGAACTAGCATGTGGACTTTGCATTATTTTTAACATGGGCTGCAATTTTTATAATACTTTTAAAGCTGGGAAATCTGAGCAAAATTCAGGCTTCTACTCCACAAATTGCATAAATTATTGAGTAGAGGCCCAAATTTTGCACAAATCTGAATATATAGTTTAATAAAATTTCAAGGTGGAGTGAGTATATATGAGGTGAGAAGAGGAGGCTGCCATACTTATGTTCAGTGGTACAGTATTTAACTATTAAGTAGAATTTAATGGCTGGATACAATTTGAACAAATGCACTAGAGACACACAGTTCGCACTAGAGACACACAGTTCTCAGCTCCAAATTTGCACAAATATTTCAAGCAATTTTGTGGAAGCCAGAAACACGCTTCTCCCCCTACTGGACCTGCTTCTGGCCATCAGGTCATAAATGGGTTGAAAGTGTGTCACACTCTAATGGAAGAAGTTTTCTGGTGTTATATATTCCTAAATGTATCCCACTTGCTCCCCCATTCCATTCACTTTTTTGGTTTGTTTTGAAGGTCCCTGAATATTGCAGCAAATAATATAAAAGTCCCATTCGCTGTTTGAAAATGATTACACTTCCCAACATGGTTGTGGTGTTTATCAAAGATAACATGTCATGGTTTTTCCTGTTTTGTGAAGATACTACCATAGGTCTTTTGATCTAGAGTATGCAGGCTATACAATCCCTTTTTTGTTTATCTTTTGTTTGGTGCTGGAGCTTTTATTTATGAAGTCTGTCTGAACTTTGCTAACAAAAATTGATTGTGTGAAAGAAGATTAGTATAATGGATCTCTTTGTCTTAAGAGTGCGAGAAGGATGTAATCTTGATAGATTTTGCACTTAAATGGCAATTGTATGTGGTTTGCTAGCTTAAAGCAGTTTAACATTGCCTTAACTGGCATAGTTTCCTGTAATTAGATATGGAAATATTTTGTTAAAACTTTTTAGAGGTTAGCTATCATCTGACTTCAGGTTTCAGTCTGAGTCTTTCAGAGCAAGTTATAAAAGTAATAATGAAAGTACATAACTTAAGCCTTTTAAAATCCTTAACAAAAAGCACTGTGATCTTTTAAGTGGAGAAATAAATTCATCTTTTGTCTAGAAGATGGATTAATGGTGAAGTCCTAGGCATATTTACTCAGAAATAAGGCCCACTGTTGAATGAGACTAAACCCTGGTAAGTGTCTACAGGATATTAGTCTATCTAATGAAATGTTGTAGATACAGAAAACATGTACACTTGAAATGGAGAATGGTCCATTGATCTCTAGTAACACTGGATTAATTTAGCATTACTGAAAAACTGTATCCAAGCAGTATTCACTGTAGTTGCATCCCTGTCAAAATATGAATGGTGACATCTTGTACTCTGGGGTAGTAAAGCAAATCATGATGGGATGTGGAATATTTTAACCTGGCAAGGGAATACATCAGATCAGATTACCTGTGAATATGAAGCCAGCAATTATTTTTAAGTAGTAGGGTATCCAGTTGGTTTCAGCTCGTAATTCATTAATTATGAGTTGACTGCAGCCACACTGGCTGGGGAATGCTGGGAATTTTTTTCTGTCTAAAATGTATAGGCTTGCACCTTTAGGAGACAAAATCTTTAGGCAGGCTTTTAGAACAACAGATAACTATTATTCAAGAATCTAGATTTAACATAACACACATATAATTTGTTTTCATTTTTGTGCCGTTATTTTATTCTTGTGCTCAGATACCAAGGTATAAAGGACATCGTAAACAGAAAAGGTGCTTGGACACGGCTGAGCAGGTAAAATGCATGAGCAGAAGAACCTGGCAGGTGCTTCTAATTACAATTTTAAGAAAAAGAAGCTTACACTAAAAATCAATGCAATGTCTCAATTGCATTTGGTAAACTAACATCACAAATACATAAAAATAAAATGGACTGAGAGGCACAACATTCACAATGTTATATGCATTTAATTCAGAGCTTTTAAAATAAGCTTTATAAATATTTGAGTGGCTGACTGCTTGCTTGCCCTCCTTCCTGTGTTTTATGGCATAGTGAGTTAAGTGCCTTTCCCTGCAGATGCTTTTTATTAAAAGGTCCCATCTTCAAGTTCCCTAAATATGATAAATAGGTATGCTAATACACTTTAGCACAATAATATTATTGCATACTGTCTTGATTTATCTGAGAACCAACGTCACTTTAAAAGCAAACTCATGAAATTCAGCTGCCCTGTCTAAAATTCTGAAAGACTTGCCCACCCTTTTGATGAGGATGTCAAGCTGTTGCAAACTTCCTTTTAATAGTATGCAGTGACTAGGCCTCATTTCACTGGAATGAGGGGTGGGAAAGTGCTTCATGACTTCATACTTTCTTGTTGAAAGGCACTACTGATGCAAATAAGCTTTTAAGGTTCAAACCAGGCAGGTTTGGCTTCCATTTTTTTCATTCATGAACTGTCTTGTTTGTATTGGAGTTAAGCTAACATAATGGGTATCTTAGATAATCTTGAATGCTTATCTGACATGATCAGGGACCCGTACCTTATACGTAGACTTTTAAATAATAATGCAGAGTTTCAAATAAGATATGAGGGTATGACCATCCATCTCCTGTCTTGCTTACTTGAACACAGCCACCTGTCCTCCCTTCTGTCAACCATAGAATCTTTAGCAAGTTAGCCTGGAAGGCATGTAGATGGCAAAATTAGGCTGTCTCCTTGGTGCTGTGCTATTTCCCATCATGTAGCAGTGAGGTGGCAGACTGACTCACTTGTCTCCACAGCAGGATATTTGGATGGCATCTCCCACACTCTCCTTCTGCTTGAAGGTTGGAAAAGGAGAAGGCAGAGACTGGAGAACCCATAAGTGTTTTGTTTGGTTTTGTGTTCTGCTCTGTTTATACAATTTTTAACCTATCCTAGGTTTGAGGAACAAGAGTTTAATTTCATTCATGTACTAGTGTAATTCAGGGATATATTAAATAGTGTAAAGGGAAAAAATCATGCCCTGCAGGACATAGAAGTGCATGTGCTAGAGTGAAGCAGAGATCTCCCAGTACCAGTTTGTGAAAATAGCTGCTAAGGTTTAAGCTGAACTGTAGAAGAGTGGTGCTGGCTATCCCCCAATTCAAATGAGTTCTCCAAAAACAAACCATGATTGATAGTAGTACTGAGCTATCTAGCATGCAAGTAAAATGAAACAAAACAAAAAGTCAGGTTAGTGACTGTTGGGTCTTGGTAGCTAGGCTGCCAGTTGTCTTGTATCGCCATCACATAGGTTGACCAAGGTAGTTCCGTCACCAAAACCATGCCTTAACCCTAGTTACTGGTTGTAATAAGATAATAGCATTAGTAGACCAAGGTCAAGTAATCAAGTGACTGGCTAGACCTGCCCAAGTACTTTGTCCACATAGGTGAGTGCTAAAAACGGAATATTATCCAACAGCCGAACAGCTCCATTGACTCATCTGTTTTAATTGTAGAATCCTGCTTGTGGAGAATAGAAACAACCTCTGTTCTTCAGAACATGTTTGGTCAAGCTACGGAAAGTGTTGAGCATAACAGCTCAAAAGCTGGTTTCCATTTCTCTCTCCCTGCTCCTTTTAGAAATGCTGACTAGCACTGAAGAACCCTGTTCCGTTTCCTAGCCACTAGGTCATGGGTCCTCAAACTATGGCCTGTGGGCCAGATCCGGCCCGCCATGCCCATTTATCCGGCCCTCCATAGAGGTTTTGGACTTGCTGTGCACGCATGCACGTGCGCATGGCGAGACGGGGCTTGTTGATGCGGAGATCGTTTTCGACTCACGCAGAGAAAAGGATCTCCTTGCGAGCAAGCCTCTGCCTCACAGTGCATGCACCCAGCAGTGGCTTGTTCGCAAGGAGATCATTTTGGACTCACTCAGAAAAAATTATCTCCTTGTGAGCAAGTCGGCACCTCCCCACTCACCCCCCTACTGCCTGCACTGCCTTGGTGGCCCACGTGCATCGCCGGCACCTTTCAACTGGCCCCGTTAAAAAAGTTTGAGGACACCTGCACTAGGTGCTTGAACAGATGATAGCCAAGACTAGATGAAACTGCATAGTTGTCTTTGCCTCTCTCTTCTGCTTTAAGTGCTATTATACATTTAAGGCAAAAGAAAGGCAAAGATTAGTTGTATCATCTAGTAACAGCTAGCAGTTGTATTAATTCATCCTCTCAAAAGTTTATATAGGGTGCCTCTTTTACTGCACAGCTAATGATTATTTTATTTTTGCCCTGAGATGTATTCTTCGGTGCAACAGTGCAAATTAGGAGTCAGCTAGTGTTTAATTTTTCTCCAAACTGACTGGCTGCAGGTAGCTTTAAAGAAAAAGCTCTGTGGAGGCAATACAATATCTTTTGTGCTAGCATGAAACATTGCATTTGCTATCTGGCAATAATGTTCTAACTGATAAGTACCTTATGAGCTCAAGATTAACTTCTCTTAGTGCTTGAGATATTCTCAGCCTTCTGTGAGGGTTCATAACTTGTTCTCCTTTTCTGATTTCTTGCTGTTTTTACCTCATAAGAGAAAAGATGGGTACATATCTTTGGCAGGTGAAACATTATAAACCTGCAGTCATAAAGTTAATGCTTCTCTTAAAAAAATTATATGCATTTCAAGTTGCACCTGCCATTTTGGTGTAAAATACTCTTTCAGATAATTAATCTTAACATTTTTAATTTTGAGAACTGAAGAAAGTGTAGCAACAATTGATTGTTGTGTCTGGTTCTGGTCTTCTTGAATAGTAAAGTATTTTATTTCCCTGAACATTTTTTGAGCATAAAAAGTGTGCATCCGTGTGTGTGTATTCACATTCGTGGGGTGGGGGGGGGAATGACTAGCATATTTCTAACACTACTTTTTAAAGTGTGGGAATTGGTGACTATTAAGCTTCAGAATATTTGAGTCTTTTTGAGGTGGTGGCATTGGTCATGAAATGATATGAGGCCACCATGTGTTGGTAAGATGGATAAGAATCAATCCTTTTTCTTAATTGAAAGCAGCTTTTTCCTTTCATCTGATTCATATCCTGTTGTACTGGTATTTATTTAGGATGAAACTATAAAGTACCCAACCTTATATTTGCTGCTTAATAAGTGCCTAAGGATATCATTTGCAAAAGGGGGGCGGAGGGAATCTTTCCTCCCTATTTTAATCTTTTTTAGTTAAAATAGGGAGGAATTAGTTATTACTCATTTCTACTTACTTTGATATATTTGCATTTGTTATATTTAACCACAGTTCAATAGGCTGTCTTGAACATTTTTAACGGAAAGGCAGGAAAATAATTATTTTAATAAATATGTAATTTCTCATTTGTAACTTTTTTCATTGGCTGTCTTTGCTCTTAGCCAGCTCAAACAGCAAAAATAAGCCTATGAAGGGATGGATTAGAGGGATACATCACAGGTAGAAGAAAGGGTTAAACATTCCTAACTTCTGATTTTCCACAGCAGATCTTCTACTCATACCTTAGAATAGTGGTATGTACTAGCATCTTGTTTGGGAAGAATGTATTTCAGCGTAACATGTAGATTCCACCAATATCTACATCTCATTTACTAGGTGAGGATAGGTGTTCATCCTTTGTAAAGTCTGCCTTCTCCTAGATGCTTTAGTCAGAAGCATGGTTGAGTGTCTTCCACTTTTTTAAAAAAACAAAGGATATTGGACAATGGTTATGAAGAGATGGCTTGCTGGAAATGACAGTAAATTATAGCAGCACAGGTAACTTTTGGTGGGTGGATTGTTTGGATTAATCCATTTAAAACATTTTGATCAACAGCACTTGCTTTATTAGGCAACCAATAATTATAAGTATTATTAAAAAGTGCAAGTATCAGGAACCATCTTAGGAGGGAGAGAGAAAGGTTGACTGTTTAAGATTGTGCTTGCTATTACAATCTTAGCAAATCCATGTGGTAGCAAAGGTGCAAATCCATGTGGTAGGGAGGGATATGTGAAGATGAAGTTATAAGGGCTGTTCAGTAATTGCAGAATTATTTTCCTTTGGAATTTTTTACAAAATCCAAATCTGAGCGCCATGTGAAAGCTTTCTTAGAGCCAACTTACATGTGATAGCAGAAGAAATCCACAGTAGACAGAAGATAAGTTTTTAATTCTGAGAGTAAAAATGAGGAAATATAGCATAAGTGAGGAATACAGAATAAATATAAAATAAGAGAGGAATACAGAGTAACTATAAAATAAGTGAGAAATCTGGAATCTTTTCCCTGCCTACACCTCATCTTCTTGCTATCTGTCTCCTAATAGGACTTTCCCTTATGGAATACCATAATAGAAATTAATCTGACTAGAAAAAAAATCTTCTAGATGAAGAAATGCCTTACTTAAATTATCAGTAATAAAAGCTAAAACTAAATGTAACCAAACATGTACCCTGAATTTTAAACCCCCCCCCCACTTTAACAAATTCAGGGCAATGATAAACCAAGTCCCATGGCAAGCTACTCTAAAAGGAGCACAAAAAGAGCACAAGTCTTTAAAAAAATGCTTAAGGCACAATTGCAAGCAATTGCAACAAGGAAAAAGTAGTAGACAACATGTACTTTTACAAAAAGCTAAGAGATAGTCTGAAAACAAAAAAGGACATGTATAGGTGGTGGAAGGGAGGCTAGACAACAAAGGAAGAATATAAGCAAGGAACTGCAGGGATGATGTCAGGAAGGCTAAAGCAATGAATGAATGGAGACAAATGATGGGAGCTAAAAACAACAAAGAATCCTCCTTCAAATATGTCCAAACCAAAAGACAGACAAAAGAGAAGGGAGTTTAACTACTCACCATGGACAGAACAATCATAACAGATGACAAAAGGTAGAAGTGCTGAACTCCTACTTTGGCTCAGTTTTCTCCCAAAAGAACTACATCCCTCCTGATGAAGGTCTAGTACAAGCTGAAGGGGCAGGATTGGCAGCCCAAGATTGACAGGCAAATGGTCAAGGATCTTCTAATTGGGCTTAATTAATTCAAATCTCTAGGGCCTGCTAAACTTCATCCCAGAGTCATAAAAGAGCTAGTGAAAGAACTCAGAACCACTATATATCATCTTTGATAATTCATGGAAGACAGGAGAAGTGCCAGACAACTGGAGAAGGGCTAATGCTGTCCTTATCTACAAAAAAGGAAAAGAAGATGAACCTGCGAACTATAGACCAGTTAGTATGACATCAATCCCAGAAAAATTCTGGAGCAAATTATAAAACGGTCTGCAAACACCTTTAAGAAAATGCAGTACTTACTAGAAGCCAACATGGATTTCTCAAGAACAAATCTGAATCTGATCAATCTAATTTCATTTTTTGACTGGGTAACCTCCCAAATGGACTGTGGGAATGCTGTGGACATAATCTATCTTAACTTCAGCAAAGCCTTCAACAAATGATGTCCTGATTACCAGACCAACAAAAAGTGGGCTAAATAGTGGAACCTCTAGGTGATTCCACAGTTGACTGCAAAATTGGACTCGGAGTGCTCATCAATGGCACATTCTCAAACCAGGGAGCAGAGACAAATAGGGTGCCACAGGACTCTGTCCTGGGACTGGTGCTCTTCCACATTTTTAACGATTTATATGGGGAAGTACAAGAAAAGATAATTGAATTTGCAGATGACACAAAACTGGGTGGAATCGCAAATACCCTGGAAAACAGAGATGAGATAAGTTGTAATCTCCATAGATTAGAATGCTGGGCAGGGATCAACAGTGAAATACAGAAATGACACCTACCTCTTTTCCTGGTGACAGTAGCAGTAGACTACAATTTATAAGGCTGCCTGTGGAAGGCAGTGTCTGCTATGTTTGAAACCATCTTCCATTGTTAGATCATGCATTTGAAGTGTGTGTGGAGACCACCTAGTTTCTACACAATGTTAGCTTTAAGAATGATTTTGGGCTTGAATTTGTTGTTTGAAATTGTTTCATTTTATGTACATTAAAGAGAACTAGAGCATAATCTTTTACAAGTCTATTCTGTCTTTGAATTAAATATGACTTACTCTCAGCTAAGTGGGGATGGGATTGTCACTGTTGCTTTGCTGGTTTTAAAAATGCCTGAGGCAGTCCTCAGCAACACACTTTGCAAAGATCTTCCTGCAGTCAGGAAGTCAGTCAGAGAAAACTGTCATCAAAATGTGCTTGACTGACAGGAGTAGGTTGTTCTAAACAGTTCCTGATGTAGTTGCAATTTAGGGCATCCTGGGAGCTGTAGGGTTTTTTTTCCAGTCTAAACTTGCAAAGGATTTTGCCCTAAATAATTGAACAGCATTTTGCAAAGTAGCATTGACTCCTAGTACTCTCTGGCTTTTGAATCATTCTGTTAGGCGTGGTAGTGATTCTAAAAGTTGCCTTCATTATATTTTATTTCTTGCTCAGTGACTGAGGCTTCAGCTTTCTGGTTTTCTTCAGCATGTTTTGCTTCATTTTACATGCATTCTTTTCTACCCCATAATGGAAACAACAAGTAAACTGCAGTAGGGACAGAATAATTCTGAACATTCTATTTTTTTCTTTTAAAATGTCATAGCTGAGTAGGATAAGAATCACAAAGTTATTTGGTTGGTCATTTTAAAAATCTTGAAACAAAGGCTTATTTTCTGTCTATAAGGAGACTGTCAAACATGAAGAGGAAATCCACTTGTCTGTGAAATAGCAAAATAATAATAATAATAATAATAATAATAATAATAATAATAATAATCCTACCCATCATTTGCATTCTGCAGTTTTTTCAGTATGTGAATCTCTGGGGAACAACCATGGTTTTGTTACCACTGTTCAGCACATTGTTACAATGGAGGAATAATGGTACTTGGCAGTTGTTGCACATATTAAATATTCAAAATTATTTTAGTCAATCCAGAATTGTAATTTGTTAATTGATACAGCATTGTGGTCACTAGTCTTCAAAATCCTAAATGAGTAGCTAATGACAATTACGGGCATACCTCAGAGATATTGTGGGTTTGGTTCCAGACCACTGCAAAAAGTCGAATATAGCAATAACTGGGTCACATACACTGTTGGCTGACTGCTGGCACAAGAGGCCCCACTTTTGGCCTATCTCAGTATTCCGTATGCCTCCTAGCTAAGCTCAATCATTTCTAGCTTCCTTCTTGCTTAGAAATGCTTAGGGGCCATTGGATGACTATTACTATAATTGGTCTAATTTTTATATGTATTGTTGTGCTTTAGAATAAGGAGGTCTGAGGGGAGAGAGAGGCATGGAGTTAACAGCTGTGAAGCAGTCAAAACACCCCGAAACAATTACAAAGATCCCAGTCACATCAAAGATCATAAATAACCATAACAAATATGCAGTGCAGTAATGAACAATTTTGAGATACAGTACAGAATTGTGAAACATTAACAAATGCAAGACAGAGAAATGAAGTGAGTGAGCCCTGTTGGAAAAATGGCAGATAGATGTGCATGCTCAACACAGGGTCTGTGAAGCAAGGTATCCTTGTACCTATCTAATGAAATAGTTAAACGGGCAAAAATACTTAGCTATAAAATTGCATCACATTAGTTGTAAAAAATCATGTTATTTTAAGTAAATGGTATTGTTATCAGTTCTGGAAGTATGGATGTTTCTAGGGTTTTTTTAAAGTCTGTGTTTATATTTTGGAGGAGTGATAGATGCAATGATAGGAAATAGTTGCCAAAATTCTGATTCCAAGACATATGAAAATAAATATATTTGCTAATCTGTATTGCTTAAGTATTACCAGAGTAATTAAAAAAACTTTTGTTCCATCAAACTTTAGAATGATTAATGATGTTGCTGTTCTGTTGAATACTGCATTTTTTGTAATGTTGCTTTTGTTAATTTAGCGGTTTTAATTATACTTTCATTTATCAGTAGGTTTTTCTGGATATTTCTATAACTTTGGACACGTCTGTGGTATAAAGTCAAAGCTGAACTGCTGGGTTACTTAGTGGCTAAACAGTCTAGTATTTAATCATTTATTTGTTTTTGGCTTAACTGCTGTTGGCCCCTAAACAACTCAACTGTCCAGATTCACATGTCACACTGCACAGCCTATGAAGGAGCCAACTGTGCAATATACAATAGTGTAGAAGTCAGGCATGTTGCAAGCAGCAAACCCACATGTCCCTGACACTCCCCATCAGTTGAAGGTTTCTTGTTAAATCTAAAAGACCCAATTGTGGCCAAATAAATTACTGATCATTTGTTTGTATTTTTAAAAAATGGGTATCTGCTCACTGCAGACAAACTGGAAAGGGTTTAGGGGAGGGCAGCAAGGATGATCAGGGGACTGAGAATAAAGCCCTATGAAAGATATCAAAAAGCTGGCCATGTTTAGCCTTGAGAAAATTGAGGGGAGATACGATGCCTGAAAGGCTGTCACACAGAAGAGGGCTTCTCAAGTCATCCCAGAGCACAGGTCATGGAATAATGGGCTTAAGTTACAGGAAGCCAGATTCCAGCTAGAAATCAGGAAAAGTTCCCTGACTCTTAGGCCAGTATGGCTATGAAACCAATCAGCTAGGGAAGCCATGAGCTTGCCCATACTGGAGGCATTCAAGATGCAGTGGGACAGCCATCTGTCAGAAATGCTTTAACTTGCAGTTCTGCATTGAGCAGGGTATTGGACTCGAAGACCTTACAAGTCCCTTCCAACTTTACTGTTCTTAATGTGAAACAGATTCTGTGATACTATTTAAGGGAATGTATATTTTTTTAAGGTAACTGAAACCAGTCATAGTGATACAAGCATTTCATCTGGAGATGCAAAGAACAAAGGCAGCACTCATTTCTTACCCAATGAAACAAAACTAATTTCTCAACCAAACAAAGACATGGTTACCAAAGAAAAGAATAGTCCAGCAGAAGAAGATGATGATGCAGAGGGAGATTCTTTCTTTGATGATCCCATACCAAAGCCAGAACGATCATATGGCTGGTAAGTTAACTGTATTTCTAATATGAATATTCCTTTAGATTTAATGGCAAATGAAGCTGGAGGATGATGTAACTATACAGCTTTATAGTAGATAAAGGATAATCATCAGAAGGTTTTTCCACAAAAGGATAGAGTAAATTTTTGCAGTGCTTTTTGACTGTACTGCAGAATCCCTTCTATGTTTCTTTGACTTAAGAAACTACTGAAAACAGAAATTACTTCTTTTAAAAATATTTTAAAAATGCATTTCCTGCTTGAAATAGAACCTTTAAGTTCAGAAATACTTATATTCATGTCTTTAAATATGCAGGTACATTTTATCATAATGAAGTAATAATGAAAAGACTGGTGATGCCAAAACATCAGTGTTCCTTCATAAAGGATTGTGTTCCCTGATTTATATTTGCAGTATAGCTTCAGAGTACTGGTTGACCAGGTTCACAGCACACAACATCCCCACTGTAGATTGCTTTCCACAGTGAATTGTTGGGTCATGTAATCCTGCACTTATTTTCCCAGGACGATGGGGCTGTTATATTGTCTGACCCCAAATGGCTGATCTCATCACGCGTACAGGGCTTTTGCTAGTTCACTAGCAAAACAAGTTCACATGGCAAGAGATCCTTTAAGATAAACAGTGATTCTGTTCAAGATGTCATTTATCTTTCTGTAACTGAAGACAGGCAGAATGTTTGTAATACAGAAGACACATTCTTCTGTCTTTGCCTGTCACATCTAGCAGAAGGAGTTACTATTCATTATTCAGTGGATATTACTGGTAATTTTTGGTGTGTAGACAATATAACAGTACTTGCTATTTGACTAGACAGTGTGTTTTATAAGTGAATGATAAAGTACTTAGAATGTGACTGCTTTCCCACTGCTTTTGTATTAAAGGAAAAATGACTCTAGCAAAGAAGGAAATGTTGCATCTCCTGATGCAGCACCCATAAAGAGTGGTCTGAGTTCTTTGGCTGGAGCACCCCCACTAAAGGAGCCTGAGAGTAAGTAAAATATGTAAATCCATTTCATGTATTGAGAAGAATAGGGCTGAGAAATTGCACCCCTTGCTCTAAATTTGATAGTACAAGATCAAACTTTTGCTTAGTTCCAGCAGAGAAAATAGTATAATCCATTCAGAGTTCCTGTTATATAAATAAAGTGAGAGAATAGGCGCCTGTTGGCTATGCCAGATACTGCATTGCAAAAGCACAGGGCTCTTAAGTGACATCAAGGTGCCATTTCTGTGTATTACTGGATTGCAGCAGTGTTTCTCTAAAAACAAGTTCAGAAACAGTGAGATGAAAGTGTGCCTCAGTAAAAATGCTGTGTTACTCACCATTCTGATAATATCAACTCTAATTTATATAACCTATTTTTCAGAATAATCATTAGAGATTGTTATATCGAAGTACTAATTTACATTAATCTCAGTCACTAAGACAATTTTTTTTAATTAGTGTCTATTCTACCTTTCAACTCAGTCCAAGGTCACATGAGCACAATGGGCATCTCCTTCCTCTTGTGTACCCCTACTGTATGCCCTGGTGGGATCCTAATCTTTTGGGGAGTTTTAGAAATACACAGAAGGATGCAGAGGGGAAGGGGAGTAAATTCTGCAAGGGTGTCCATTCCACTAGCAGACTTTTATATAATGGCCCCAGAAGAGACAACATACTTATTTTCTTTATCACAGTTAAAATAATAACAAATTAGACATTTCTATTTATATATTTCTTAAATATGAATTAAGCAATCTAGTCATGATGTTCTTCAGTATCATGATAAGTAATTTAGCATTACTTATCAATGTACCATTATATCCAGTGGCTTTGTAAGCCAAAGGCAGCATATTGCAAAACCACTGAATTCAACTGCATATTGATAAACATGCTGAGTTACTTTATATATAATTAGAGAACTTGCAGGTAAATTAATTCCTTAATTTCACAGTTAAGAAATATGGAAATAGCAAGGCTTCTTTCTGCTATCTTCTGTTTGCACAACAATGCTTTCTCCTCCAACATGCAACTTTCTGCATTCTGTGTAAAACTTTCAGAGGATTTGGGGTCTTCACGAACAGTGGGACCTGCATTACATCAGTCTGCCGAGCTATGGAGAACTGCCTGAAAATAGGTGGAGGAATTTTGCTCTAATGGGAAGTCTGCTGGCAAAGATTCCTGTGTCCTATTTGGGGTGATTTCCCCCCTTCCGTGTGTACTACAGACCAATCATACTGTATGAGAGGCACCTGACCCTCTAAGGAGATATTTAAGAGGGTAGAGTAGCAAAAATAAAGTTTGATAGCTTGAACTGCATTCTTCTGATGCAGCCATCAGATGCAAATTGCATTAGCAACATAGGAACCCAGAATTAAAATTTAAGATGCATAATTGTTTAATCTATAATATAATTAAAATTATTTAAAGCAGGTTGTATAAGAAGCCATTATACATTTTAATCTTACTTATTTCTTATTTACAGATGCAAACTCAATTTTGAAAGATGTAAAAATGGTGAATTCTAAACTTGGATCACTTGAAATAGGCAAGTACCTTTTCTGCAGAAGGACGAGATTCAGAACATTTCAGTATCACATCAAAGTTGAGAATTCTCAAGTCTTCTAATGTCCCTTTTTAATTATTTACAAACAGGGGATGAAGATGAATATGTTGATGACTTCAACAGGTAAGAGCTTCTGTTTCTAGAATACTGTATTTCAGGAAGGCAGACATTCATCTGCATTTGATGTAATGTAGAAGAATATGTGCCATTTCTTAAAGAACTTTATAAAGCTCTTTCAATATAGTTACACCTAGCATATAGATGGCTTCTGCAGTATTCTTTAAAGATTTACTGGCCTTCTATTAAATACTGTATGTGCCTTAGATTTTATTGTATGCATATTTAGTAAAATGTAAAACTAGCTGCTTTCAACATGATTAAATACTCACAAGACTTCATAATTCCTCTCTATGTTGTATAGTTAATTGTACAGTTTGGTCCTAAAGATTTATTCCAAAGAAATAAAACTATAAAGTTTGATACTTAGATTTTTCCCCACAGATATTTCATTTATTAGGGAAGAAAGTTTAATTGTTTCCTTTTTTAATTTTCTTTTTTGTTAGTACCAGTCATCGGTCAGAGAAAAGTGAAGCCAGCATTGGTGAAGAAATAGATGATATTTCTGTGGAATTGGAAGACTTCAATATTAGTGACAAAGTATAACTTTTATATATTGCATGGGACTGGAAATATATCCATTTTCTCACAATATAAAAACACTGTTGAAAAATATTTGTGTGCATTTGTGTGAAATGCTGCTTGCAAGCATATAGTTATTGTGAGAAATGCTTAATCCAAACAGTATTTGCTTCTAGTTGTAACAGGGTTGTCTTTAAATTTTGAGAGGAACCTTAGTTAACTGCCTCTTAGTGGGTTCTCAAGAATGCCAGTCAGTGCCAGGAGTCTAATCTAGGTATCAGCTTCTTAATTCTACAGTGTCCTGAAGTATGTTGGGCAATGTAGGGAATGTAAATGATGCTGATTCCTAGCCATTCATAAGTAAAAAGTATTTAAAGAGAAGCATCAGTAGTAGGCTACATGGGCCACAGCAGCTACCTATGTAGTTATGCTGACATGAGACTTGAACTATTTATCTACCTGTGCAACCTGTTACAATATGGACTACTGCACCAGGTGCGCACTAAACAGAAGGAAGAATTTCTTAATTGTACGAGCAATATGACAGTGGAACCAGCTGCCAAGAAAGGGTTGGGGTTGGGATTAGGGTGATTAGTCATGCAGAGGTTTGTGCTGGAAGTTGCTCTTAGAAAAGTACTTGAAATTGAGATCTTGTTGATAGCAAATGCTAAGACATGATTTTTAAGGAATTGGGATATACTCTGTGAATTTCAGCTAATACTTTCATATATTATTTTCCTCTCCCAGCTTGAAGACCTCACACAAGACCTCACTATTTCTCAGTTAAGTGGTGATGCAGATTACCTGGAGGATGTTGCATGAGCAGAGAACAGAAATATAAATTCGTTGGTTTGAGGACCTTTGTAGACTATATATTGAAGACAATCACACTGCTGAAATATCCCCTTCCCAACTGTGCCTTGTGTGTCAAAGGAAAAAAGCAACCAACAGAGCTGGAGAGGGGGAAAGGGATTTTAAACTTCCAAGGACTGAAAACCCAATAATTTTGGAGTGTTGCATTGCTATCTAGTTCAACTAAATCTTTCATGCAAGAAGTTCAGTAGTTCCCAGAAAGATGTCCGTTGCAGGCGACAGACACACCAAAAATTAATAAGGGAAGAAATCCACAAAGTATCTGAAGAATGGCAGACATGCTTACTGTTATGGTAAGCATCTGGCTTTTTGTTGAAGAAACCAAGAAAACACAGTGTTTGAACTTATTCTTCTGTTGATCCAATTTTAATTACAGTTTTCAATACAATTTCTTTCTTGCTGGTTGAAATTATTTCAGCAATCAGGAGATGTGAACCAGAATCTTTAAAAATAACTTATAGGATGCCTGACTAGAGGCATATTAAAAGACACTAGTGTCTGAGTTATGAATACCCATAGTTTATAGAAAGCTGGTTCCTTTATTGCAAGTTAGGTGCTTAGTTTTGCGTGGAGATCACTAGGTACTTCTGAAAATTGCAGCTGGAATATGAGCCTTAACGCTAAACTTATTTTTATATATTTAAACATTTGTTACTCTAAACTAGCTTTTGTTTGTTAATTTAATGAAAGTGTTTATTTGCATGAGTTTTTTTCTTTGAAACACAGCTTGATACAGAATAAAAACTGTTCCAAGACAGGCTGCTTAAAGGTTGAGAATATTCTGTGATGAAAATCTTTGTCCTTTGTGTGTGTGTGTGTCTTTTTCCTTTTTTTGGGGGGGGGGGGTAAATAGAGGTTTTGAACTCTTGTGTATTAATACCCCTGTATCAGTTTTAGGCTAATCATATACAAAGGACATCCTTAAGTGCCTTTAAGGCAGGGGTAAGGAAACTTTGGCCCTCCAGATGATGACGGACATCATCTCCCATCAGCCCCACCTATTATGGTTAATGGTCAGGAATGATGGGAGTTAGTTTGAAAGCCACAAGTTTTTTAGCCCTGAAATAAGACTCCACATTTATTTCAAAAGGACTTAGAATAAATAATTATGTAGGATTGCTGTTCTGGGACTCAGTCCACCAAGGATTTGATAGTACAACAGCTATAGAAATCCTAAGGAGATGGCTGTAGCAGTTGCTGGTTAATTTCAAATTCTTCCCTTTCCTCAAAACACAGTGGAACTTGTTTATGACCAAGTGAATGCAGGAACAGGTTTCATTTATAAGCCTCATATATAAGCCTTGAGAAAAATCATCAATGGTAGAAAAATTGATACTACTACAACAGCACCTTATGTGTGATACCTTGTGATCCTGTGCCCTGGTCACCTTGTGAAACTGTAATTCCTTCAATACTGTAAAAATACTTTTCAGATGAATTTATGGGGCAGGGGTTAAATGACAACTAGGTATAGCTTGGTTCTTGGTAGAACAAATGCTGGTAAGCAAAAATGGGCTAGGATTGGCAGTATACTTTAAGGTATTATTTACTTTCTCGGTAATAGACCTGGCATTGTTGATACTGAAGCAAATGATTCCTCCAGGTTGTATACCCAATTTGCAGATTTGGTGAAAGTATTTAAAGCATGATACCAGTTTTCTGTTAGGAATATTTTTGTAATATCCTTTACATGTTGGGACCTAAAGCAAAATGTTCCAGTGGACTCACAGCTCTTACAGGAGCATCCCAGTCAGCTGGGAGCAAGAACATTGTTTGGGGCTTGATAGGAATATTTTTTCCCCTTCCCATTCTTCTATAACCTCCTCTAAATGCTGTACAGTGCTACAGGGCTACCAGTTCTAATTTGAATGCTCTGTTGCTATAATGTGAAGTGTTGTATATGTAGAATAGGGAGGAGTGTTTCAATCTGACACTGATGCTCACTGCTTGAGCCTCTCTTTCCTTTCCTCCATTCCCATTAGCTTTCATCAGTATGCCATGGCTTAACCACCCTCAATGACAGCTTTATTGCTAGATTTAGATTGACTACCCAACTTCCACATCCTTTTTCCCCTCTCACATAGGATAGTATAGAGCTGCCACTGAAAAATCAGGAATATTAGCTAGAATTTGGCAGCAACATGCTTCCTTCAAGGGAGCAGACTGGCATCCTCATCTCTAGAAAGCTCATCTGTGCAGTGATCCCTGCTCTTTTGCAAAAAGGTTCACATGACATCAGGGGCAGGTCTATACAGCGTGGCTACATTCTTTTCTAGCACATTTGTGTACTTGCTTTCTTGAATGCCTGAATAGAGCTTTTCAATGGGGTGATTCCCAGTAACATGCTCCCCAAAGATAGGTTGCTAAGGCCTATGGGCTTAGTTGTCATTTTCATCTTCACACTTAACATGGAGACCATTGGCAGCTGTGGATAGTTTCTTCCCCACCCCATGGTCATATTCTCAATCCCACTTTCCTAAAATAATTCCTAAAGAAATGTCAGTAACTCTGTGTCAACCACTCTGATTTGTTCCTGCCACTACCACTGGTCCCCCCCCCCAACACACACACTAAGCAGTGCTGTACATACCAATGAACAAATTGAAGAACAGTATTCTTGACTTAGAAAAGAACAATAAATGAGTATGTCCAGGCCTGGCATAATTCAAGGCTGTAAATTGTGTGATGCTTTTTATAGCCATGTTCCTCAATAAAGCTCTTCCTCAGGGCAAACTCCTCTACCCTGGTGACTTCCACATGTTGGCATGCAGCTTCCATCAATTCCACCTTCATGACAAATGATCATGTGATGGGAGTTGTAATGTGAAATGGGGAACCACCACAAGGAAGGCTGTTCAAGGGCATTTTAGACATATTCAGCTGTAGTTCTCTCTCTACCTATAATGCAACCAATCCCAGGTAGCAAAGATGTCTAAATATATTTTAATCTGCAAAAATATAAGTTGAACAAGATGTCTGGTTTTGGAGCCCTGGAAAAAAAAGAGTGGGTGGGTGAATCAGTCCTTGATATAGCCTAATTGGAGTTCTTTAGCTATTCTAAGATATTTTTTTTGCTTGACAGGGTTGCATCTACAGAAGTTAGAATATTTAACTTAGCCATAGCTTGGCCCTCATAAAAAACACCGCAGCCCTTAGCAGTATGTTTGGTTGGTAGGTCTGAATGTGTGATCCTCTTGACTAAGTTCCTTTATCATCCTTTTGCTTTGCTTTGCTTTGCTTTGCTTTGCTTTGCTTTGCTTTGCTTTGCTTAACAGCAGCCATTTCTGGATCTTAAATCTAGCAGACAGGCTTGTCCAGTACTACTTGGAAGACTGATCAGTGCTGCTGCAGGGGCCATATAAGGAATGGCCACATTAGATCAGACCAGTGCTCCATCTAGTCTTGCATTATGTTCAGCTCAATGAGCTGCCCAAAAGATTGGCCTAATCAGGATATGAGCACAACAGCACCCTCCAATCCATATTCCATAGCAACTGGTGTACACAGGCATGGCATACTGCCTCTGCTATTGGAGGTAGATGGCCATCAACTCTAGTAGTCACTGCTAGCTTTACTGTGCATGAATTTGTCCATCCAAATTTCAAAGCCATACAAAAAGGTCATCACTACATCTCATGGACTTGCTGAAGTAGAACACATTTAGATTTTCTTTACCTCTCTTTACGTTTGTCTTACAACTAGGTATTTTTGAAGCAAAGCATCATGTATGGCTTTTTCATTTTGTATCTCAGTATTTAGGGAATAAATTGTAAACCATTGTACACGGCCCAGAGAGCTTCAGAAACCGGGTGATACAGAAATGAAAAAAAAAAAACTGCAGCTGTCCACTGTTTTCTGCTTAGGCAGATCCTTTGCATAGTTCAGGCTGATTCCTGAAAACTAAACATAACTTCTTCGTCGTGGCCTCTGCATATGGGTTCTGCGCTTGCGCAGTGGCCGGAAGATTAACAGCTAACGGTTTATGGCGGGAACTCCGCTCCCCCTCCCCCCTTGTATTATATAAGGAGCAGAGTATCCACCATTTTCCAGTCTTTGCAACCGCCATTTGTTGTGCCTCGTGCCGCTTTGCTCTCACTTAGATCATTACTTACCTCTCGCTTGTTGAAAAACTTCCCTTTTTCTTAACAAGTTAGTATTCCCTTGTTCCTGTTACTGTTAGTATTTTCACTTAGTTCTTGCTTTTCACTTTTTCTCTCTTGTTCCTATAAAAAAAACAAACAAACGAAAAATACTCTCCCGCTTTACTATCTCCTTCTCTTCTTTTTCTACGATGGCGCAACGGGCGGCGTTCTGCAAGTGTGGGAAGTGCGGCTCCAAAATGCCCGCCGTGGACCCGCATGACCTGTGCCTCCTTTGCCTGGGGGAAGGGCACAAGACAGATAAATGCGGCCACTGTTTGGCCTTCTCCAAACAGGCGAGGAAGAATCGGGAGAACTCCCTCCGCAAGCTCTTGTGGGACCAGGCTCTCCTCCAATCAGACCAGCTGGTGGCTAAGCCCCCCACAGTGGCTCCACCCGAAGGCCATCCAACTCCGGCCGACCTGCCGCAACGCCCGGCCTCTTCCCCCATTGCTCCGCCCTCACGCCCTTCTGAAGAAGGTGCTCCTAGCATGGCCGATCAGCCCGTTTCCCTACCAAGGAAACAAAAAGGGAAGAGGAAACACAGTGATCCAGATAAACATCCTGTGCATAAGAAGGCCAAAAAGAATAAGGCTGGCAAGCCGGTTAAGAAACAGAGGAATCCTGAGCATGCAAAGCATTGCCACTCGGGTTCAGCGATCAAAGCCCACCAACAACCGGGACTGAGCACTGACCGTTTTTATGATGTGGTCAGGGGCGAACGATTCACCTCTATCGCCTTACCGTTCATAACGACTCTGCAGCAGGCAATGACTCAGCCATGGGACCTCCCGGCCCACCCACAACTGACTTCACGTAAATATGAATCCATGTATCAGGTAAACCAAAAAAGATCCATGAATCCAGAATTACGGCCCGTCGTATGGAACTGCAATCCCAGCCTCAACGTAAGTGGTCATGGTCACGCCCGCAATACTGCCAGCAATTCCAACCTCAGCAACAACAACCACATCAACACCAGCAGTGCCACAGACAGCAACCGTTCCAGTGCTTCCAGCAGGGCCACTGCAGCTTCAACATGGATAGGCGATAGCGCTGATGGAACAAGTGAGCCTTTCCTCTCCTCCCAACTTCACCCTCCCCTCTCTCATTTGGGGATTGGCTGAAAAGTCGGCTCTCTACTTGGGAGTCCATTACATCTGATGGGTGGGTGTTATCCATCATCCAGCACGGCTATAGAATTGAATTCAACGTTGTTCCATCACTGAATCCTATCCGTTTTACACCGACCTCGTCGGTACTGTTGGACGAGATTCACCAACTTCTTACTAAAGGAGCTGTTCATCGCTTATTGTTATCGGAAGGACTCCACGGATTCTATTCCAGATATTTTACGGTCCCGAAACGAGATGGGGGTCTCCGACCCATATTGGACTTGAGAGCTCTCAATAGATTCATAACACTAAAGAAGTTTCGGATGACCATGCTCCAAAATATACTTCCGTTGCTGGGTAGAGGGGATTGGTTCACCTCGTTGGATTTGAAGGATGCCTATTTTCATATTTCAATACATCCACATCATAGGCGCTTCCTTTGTTTTGCAGTAGACTCTGAAATCTATGCATTCAAGGTGTTACCGTTTGGATTAGCCACTGCACCAAGAGTTTTTACGAAGTGTA